CCTTTCTGGTAGAAATTGTTATTCCCATGTTATAGATGAGGAAACCCAGGCACAAGGCTGTGAAATCACTTAAGTAAATTCACCCATAAGTAAATCACTAGGGTTGGGTATGAACAAAGAGTCTAGTGGTAAAGACCATCATTTGAAAACTAGTCTTTGGCTCCCTGGTCTGGAGTTCTTGCCATTCCTCTTTAGGGATCGAGGAAGGAGAAAGTGGTTTGGATGAGACTTGTGGAAAATAGTAGTCACCGCGCGATGAGGTCAGCGGTCTGAAAGCCTGAGGGGGTGGGATTGAGGAGGCGAGTTATGGGGAGCCCTGACAAGCAAACTACTGGTGTTGAAGACCAGATGTCAGCACAGGCCAGGAATGGGGCTTGTGGCTACGCTGTTCAGCCAGACTTCTTCCCCCTCCTGACCCTTCGCCTGGGGCATCATGGCAAAAAATCATACTTCCACATGACCCGGTCCTTTCCCTTCCAATAAACACAGCATCTATGGGGTTGTTTATGGATTCCTGAATTCGTTCCTTTGCCAACATGGCCCACGGTGCATCTATTTAGCTTACTCATCTCCAAACCTCCCCAGTGGCTTCTGGAGATTCCCTTTGGCTGCACCAGGCTCAGAGAGCTCTGGGTTCTTTGCAACATCTGGAGATGATCCCTCAATGTCAACAAATTCAATCCACCAAACTTCTGAAAATAGGCAGTAAGACATGTGTAGTCAGAGAGTTTGGGCAGAGCCGGGCTCCATGCAGGTTCTACCGCTTTCTACCGATGTGGTTTGGGGACCACAATGAATTTCTCTGTACCCCGCAGCTAAAAGTGGAATAGGAATTTCTTCCTTATGGGTGGTAGGGAAAATCAAAAGATGTGAATTTTTGTGAACCTCAATATCTGTAAGTGATCAATAGCGGATGGTCACTTTGGAGGCCAGGATGGAGCTGGGACTGCTGTTGTGCTTTGGAGATACAAAGCCAGATCTTGCTTTCAGAAGTGAATGGAGCAGGCCTTTGTCGGAAATTAGTGAAATTGCCAGGTAAGAACTACATCAGTGATAGACAGGGTCAAGAGTTGATAGCAAAAAGAGAGAAATGAGCTCATCTGGGCAGAGGTGAAGTGAGATGGCTTCCTAGAGGTGGTGATCAAAGCTATGGATGGATGCCCAATTTTGGTTAATGTGCAGTTACAACTCAGAGGACCAAGAGTTTACCAAGGGATGGTAGCTGCCTGTTAGCTGCCTGGCCTCCTTGCTCTTGGCTTAATAGCAAAAGCCTTTCTGTTATAATTAAATGACAAAGAGGTGCCATGGATCCCGAAATAATCCGGCTCTAACTTAATAGCAACACACAATTAAACCCTGATTTAGAATCCAGGGGACTGGAGGAAATAAATCAAGTACCTACTGTGCACATGTGGAATTTGACCAGTAGAAATTAATATTTTTGATCAAATAATATCATTCAGTCAGAATTACACAAACTATCTTATGGAATTCTCCTATCAATCCTATAAGGGTTTAACTGTTCCTCTTTCACTAAGACTCAAATTATCTAAGTTGTGCAAGCAGTATTTTTCACGATTAAGCAACGGCGGGATCAGTTTTAAAACCCCCGTGACACGTCTGATTCCAAAGCTCATGGTCCTTCTGCAATCTCGCAAACATATGCTTACACATAACTGCTTCTTCTTTTTCCAATAAGCACTGCATTTATGAAGTTATTTATGTTTTTTTTAAAAAATTAATGTTTTTGTCTACATAGACCAAATTGTGAGTATATTTGGCATGTAAACGTGAAGGTACCCTTGAGGCACAAGATTCTTTCAACATACCTGTCATACATAGATTGCACTTGTGGCCCTGATAATTGACCTCTTTGTGGCTTCACTTTTTGCCATGTGACTTTGTAACTCCTCCCACTGGGAGGCAGAGTGCTAGTACCTAGGCCTCCAGAAGTCATCTGAGCATCAGTTCTCCCTCGGATTCTTACCAGGTCTGGACTGGCCAGAGGGGAGCATGGGATAGACACATGGACAGAGAGGCTTCAGGCCACCCAGATCAAGCCATCCTAGATCAGACAGCTTCCATCTGACCAGTGAGTTAACTACACATACGTGGGAGTCAGCTGAGTTCTGCCCAGATCAGCAGAAGCAGCCAACCAACTAGCCGACTCATGAGAAATAAATAGATGTTTGTTGTTTTAAGCTACTAATTTTGAAGTGGCTTTTATTGCATCAATAGTTAACTGATAACAACAAAAACATAGTTTTATTTTTAATTAGAAGGCAATAAAGGCAAAACTTGCATTGTTTCGATTATCAGTCAGTACCCCAATTTGGACTCATTGTTCCCTAGACCTATTGGGCAACTATCTTCTTGGTATCCCCCTTTATCATTTTAGGAATCCCCTTTAGTTTGTTTTCTGAAACTCATGTCTTCCCCTTTCTTGGTAACTCCCTTGTTTTGGTGGAGTACATCCTTTAGCAGTCACATGTGAATGGGTGCATAGGCTTAGAGACTAGGCATATCAGAAATATCTTTGTTCTAGCCTTATTCTTAATTTGAGATTTTGATGATAGAATTCTAGCTTGGAGAAAGTTCCCTCAGAATTTTGAAGGTATACTGCTTCATGGCCTTTCACCTTCCAATGTGGCAGCTGAGAAGTACGATTCTATTTTGATTCTCAGCCCTCTATGTGTTGCCTATATTTCCTTTCTAGAAACTTACAGGATCATCTCTTTGCTCCAAGTGTTATGAATTTTTAAGATAATGTGGCTTAGCATGGGTCTGTTTTCCTCCATTAAGTACTCCCTTGCCCTTCGTCAAGATATTCATGTTCTTAAGTTCTGGGAAATTTTCTTGATTTATTTCTTGGATGATTTCTTCCTCTCCATTTTGTGTTCTCTCTTTCTACATCTCCTATTATTACATGTTGATCTTGTGGCCTGGGTCTCAATTCATTGTCAGATATAGTTAACTCCATTTTTTTTGGGGGGGGGAATGTTTACCAGGGATTGAACTCAGGGACACTCAGCCACTGAGTCACATCCCCAGCCCTATTTTGTATTTTATTTAGAGACAGAGTGTCACTGAGTTGCTTAACTCCTCACTGTTGCTGAGGCTGGCTTTGAACTCGAGATCTGCCTGCCTCAGCCCTCCTGAGCCTCTAGGATTATAGGCATGTGCCACCATGCCCCGGTGATAACCCCATTCTTGGTATCAATTTAATTTTCGTCAGCTTTCCATTACTGGGATAATATGCCTGGAAAAAATAAAGGGAAGAAAGATTGAGTTTTGCTCATCGTTTCAGAGGTTTAAGTCCTTGGTCACTTGGACCTATCACTTTGTGACCATTGAAAACAGAACACGATAGTGTGGAGTGCACCGTGGTGCAGGGGGTGGGACATTGCTTCTCGCTTCGTGGTGGCTGGAAAGCAGAGAGAGATAAAGATAGAGGAAAGAAGGGTCCCAGGACAAAATATGTCCTCCAAAGACACGGACTCAGTGACCTTCTTCCTCCAACTAGTGTCTACGTCCTAAAATTTCTACCATCTTCCCATAGCCTATTAAACTGTGAATCCCTCAATGGATTAATGGATCGATGAGGTCAGAGCCCTCATGGTCCAGTCCCCTCCTGAAGGCCCTACCTCTGATCACTGCGGCTTTGGAGACCACGTATACAGCACACGTGCTTTGGGGAGGCATTTCAGGTCCAAATCATAAAACCCTGACTCAACCAGGGACTATTTTTAGACCAGAATAAACTTCTGGTCTTCTGCTGGGATTGAGATAGAACAGTTCTTAGCTGCATGGAGTGGGGAAGGGGGTCTGCAGTTCTGACTGCTTCCTAAATAGACTTCAAGCCTCTCCAGCTAATCCCCACCTTCCCCACCACTTTCAGAGTAGTTAATGCTGCCAATTCCTGAACTTTTGGGGATTCTGCTGCATGAATTTGTTTCTTAACTTTCCCCACTGCTGACTTAGGGGTTAGCTCTCCCAGATTGTTCAGTCAGTTACCAATTGACTATTATTTTCTAGCTTCAATTTTTTTTTTGTTGGTTCTAATTAGTTATGCATGACAGTGGAAATGACATGTGGAAATGACATGCTGTCATGTCATACATGACAGCACTTATACATTGCTGGTGGAACTGCAAATTGGTGCAACCACTGTGGAAAGCAGTATGGAGATTCCTCAGAAAACATGGAATGGAACTACCGTTTGACCCAGCTATCCCACTCCTCAGTTTATGCCCAAAGGACTTAAAATCAGTATACTACAGTGATGCAGACACATCAATGTTTATAGCAGCTCAACTCACAATAGCTAAACTATGGGACCAACTAAGAATTGTATATATTTTCTTTATCTATTCATCTGCCCTTCAACAGATGATAAAGAAAATATATACACAATGGAATATTACTTGGCCTTAAATAAGAATGAAATTATGGCATTTGAAGGTAAATGGATGGAGCTGGAGAATATCATGCTAATGAAATAAGCCAATCCTCAAAACCAAAGGCTGAATGTTTTCTCTGATCTAGTTTCAAATTTTTATTGCTATCATCTCTTCTTCCAATCTCTGATTTGCTTTATCCTTTAGTCAGTATCCCTTCATTGTCTTTATTTAGAGGCCTGCTTAAGGGCTTGGAGGTGAAAGGAATACTCAGTGGCACAGAGGATATGTTCACCTTCCTCTCTTCAGCGAGGAATCCAAGAATAGCTATTAGCTTTTAAAGAATGAACACGTCACAGAATCTCACTTAGTTTGAAAAATGTAGGGTACACACCTCCTATGAAAAAAATCAAACTTTCTTCAATAAAAGACTCTTGAGTGTTGGAAACCATGTAGTTTTTCCATTTAGAAAAAAAACACAAGATGAGTGTGAGGCTTCAACCACCTCAGAAACCTTTGACTTTGTGCTTCCATTTTACCCAGAGAGACAACCACAGCTCATCCCTCCAGCCTCCCATTTCCCTTGAATTAGAGACTTCTGAGTCCATTTCCTTTTGCCTTTTAATGTTAGCCTTTTAATATTTTCCAATAAGTGCTTTCAACCAGGCAGAGTACATGTCATGCTTTCCTCATTATTATTGGTCCATCAATAAATATACAAAACCAGAGGAAGGGTATGCTCTGAAAAAATCCAAGTAGCAATAGCAATGATCATTGTACAAACATGAACAAAATAGGCCAGTCTTTGCTAAATCCACACCGAGGACTTATAATAAGACACACCTAGGACAAAAGCAAATGAACCTGTTATTCTTGTTCTTAAGGATATTTCATTCTTCCAGAGAAGTTGGATATTTCCTCTCTTCTACTGCTCTGCTGTGACATCACTGAGTGAATGTTGACACAAAACTGATTCTTGATGTTATGGGTTTCAGTGCAAAACCTTTTGAGAGGTTCTGGTGGAAGAATACATGTTGACAGGCTAGAACCTGCAAAATGGGGACTTGGAGGTATCTTTTGCCTCATTTGATTTTTTTCACCCAGAGCTAATTTAAGGAAGGCCCTTAGGAGACATAAAAGATTGACAATTGCGGGGAAAATTATGCCTTAAGCTCTCGGGTTGCTTTGTGATATAGTTAAATGGTAGCCCCTTACTTTCGTAACAAGGCCCAGTTTAATGACTTAGTCCAGGCCACCTGGCATGTCATTGGTAGGAATGATATGTGGTCAAATATGCTTTCAGAGTCATGGCCATTATGTCAAATCATTTCCTACCCCGCCTATTTGTTGGATAATGTCTAGAACGGGCGGGAAATCATCTTTAGCTGTGAGACTTGACTCTCCAATGTGCCCCCAAAAGAATCTGGGGGACAGGTGGAGCCTGGCAGGGCCCTCTTAAAGCCGATCCCAGAGTGGCTTGTGGCATTCAGGTTAAGGAGCCTGAGGGAGCCTATCTGGGTGTGTGGCAGAGCCAAGAAATCCCTTAGAAAAAAGGGGAATTTTTAATACTGGTGGGAGTAACAACCCAGAGAAACCTGATGTCCATTTTCTTTCAACTTGAAAAGGAAAATAAAAAAGAAAACCAGGTATCTGAACATGCAAGTAGCCAAAAACATTCACAGAAGGAGAGAAAGGAGTTTTCATTTTTAAGATTGTGGCCAGAGCGGAGGGAGAAGGTCAGAGCGGGTAGGAAGAGCAGCGGTTGGGAAGGAGTGGAAAGTTTGCATCTCTCCTTTAAATATATCCTTCCTGTCAACTCTTTGTACAAACCAGTCCTCATTTTTAAGAAGGGAATTTTTTTCCCCCTTCTTCTCCTATTTTTGACTTGAAAAACATTGCCTGTGAAGCACAGCAGTTCAGGCAATGAGCGACTTTTCTGGAAGCCTAAAGAAGGAGAACCCTTACTTGAGAGCGTCAACCTTATGGGTTATGAGTAGCCCTTGGAAGTTCCAGGACCAATGGCACATCCTGAATGATGAAGAGGTGCCCCAAAGGACTTGCCAAGTTGGAAAAACACAGGACAGAGGATAAAGCCATTATTCTCTTGTTTAGCCATAAACCTGCTTTTCTGGTGATAAGATTCCAGTGGTGGGAAACCCTGTAACCTTTTGAGGGATTCCCCAGGAACTTAACTCATCCCCGTCAGAAACTACATGGGGGGCAGACAAACAAATATGCCATAAAATAGTGGAATAAGATCTTTACCACATACCCCCCCACACCAACCTATGCCAATCAGTTGGCCACTGACCATACTTTTTCGTTTATAATCATGAGAGGTCAAAAGGCATTATGATATGGTTTTTGGAAATCACCACTAGGGTCAGGTGGTAAAATGGAATATGATTTCTTAAAGCCCTTCAAGGGGACAGAAAGGTGGCCATTAAAACCCCAAAGCGGCTGAAGCTCTTCTGCTCACAATTCTGACTCCAGGATCCGAGACAAAGCTTTTGAACAGCCTCAGAAATCAAACAGTGCTGGCTTCCTTGGTCTGTGAGGTTTGGCTGAGGGATCCTGAGTGGGAGTCCAGGGACTCTGAGATGAGTTTAAAAAGGACCATTCTCAGATTATCCCAATGAGCCCTAGAGACCCAGGCATTGCTGGTTTTAGAGACAGAAGGATCACAGCACAAAGGGTTAAAATGGAAGAAGTACAGATATTTATTAGGTATCAGCTGAAACCCTTTTATGCCTCTGACAAAGTAACCTAAAAAAAAAAAAATCATACTGATCAAAGGACCTCCAGGGTTTAATATTTCAAAAACACAGATAAATAGCTTACTACAGATAAATAGCTTCACCCTTTGGGTGTCTCCCAGAAGCATCTGAAAAATTTCCAGGAGGGGTCTGTTTGTTAAAAGGGATGTATAACCAGTACACCCCAGACCCTACCCTCACTGGAGAGCAATGCCCAGGGACGGGCTGCCGGAGGGACAATATGGGCCCATTCAGATTTCCTCCCAGGGACCAATCCCTCTTAGCCCCTGGGAATGTCCTTAGCTGGTGACTGTTAGCTGGGAGGTGGGGTGTGGAGAAGGTTGGGAATCAGACACATGTATTTGTGGTCTTTGTTAGAAGCCATCTTTAGCTCACCCTGCAGGGGTGAAGGCCTCTAGTGGGGAACTGGAACTGTCAGATTCTTGTGGATTATTAACTGAGTCCTAATGTCAGAAAGCAATGCTGTTTTTATAAATTGGACCTGATTTTTAAAAACATAAAAAAAAACACAAAAAAACAAAAAAGAGTAGAAAATTTTATGCTAAAAAAAAGTCCCCAATAAAACAATCAGTAGCACATTGCATCTGTGAAGTGTCCCAGCTCCCTGTAATGGTTATATTTCAAACTGTGGTTTCTTTTCAAGTTAATGGTGTAGATGTTACACGCCGATCTTCATGTCCACATTCTGCAGGTTCCGTGTCTCATCGGCTGTCATAAATTGGTCTGGGGTCTCCGATGACTCCTTGTTCACCAAATGCACCATTTCCTGAGACTTGCTGGCTTCCCCGTTGAGTCCACTTGGCTTTCTGTCATCCACGGTCCCATTGCCATTGTTGATCACCAGCTTTTTCTTCTGCCCACACCTAATCATTTGTAAAACACCGAGAGAAAGGGTAAAATGAGCATGGGTTCCTGGCCTTTTGACTAAGATAAAGTGGAGACAGGGTCAAATGACTCAATCACCATCATCATGACCATCATCACTGTTCAGTCATAACCATGACCATCACCACAGTTTATAATGACCTAAAAGCACGAGCTTGATACCTTCTCTACTTTATCTTATCAACTCTTAACAACCAGCATTTCTCAAAGTGAGGTCCCTGGACCAACAGCAGAAGCATCATTTTGGAACTTGTTAGAAATGGTAATTCTCAGTGAATCAGAAAACTCTAGGATCGGGGCCCAGGACCTGAGGTATAACAAGTCCGTGGGGGCTTCTGATGCACGGTCAAGTTGGAGAATCCGTGATCACCACTCTGGGAACCCAGTGCTATTATTATCATCCTGTCACAGGAAGAATTGGAGTTTTGAACATTTAGTATTTTTCCTAAAATATTCAACAAGCTGTAAAAGAGTCAGGATTCAAATCCTGGTCGGTCTGACTCCCAAGCTCTAATTCTTCTCCTACCACACCATGCAATGGAAATGTTGACTTTTGTGAACACTGCAGCAGTTCCTGCAGACCCAGGTGAACCGTCAACATGACGATTGTAAATCATTCTGATTTGTGTATTCAAGAAAGTCGCACCACTTCCTCTCCCCGTCAACATTTCGTTGGCCTGATCAGTGTTATTACTGCTTGCACAGAGAAGAATAAAACAACACTGTTCTAGAAATAGAGGCCATATTTTTGATTTTCCCTAACATTGGTTCACTCATATATAACCCTGGGTAGAAGATAAATTATTCACTGTTACTTTAGGTTTTTTCATAAGCTTACTTAAGACTCAAATGCAGAAGAAGGTTTTCTACAAATGAGCATGAGACTGTCCTGCTATTGTCACAGCGTTGCCTCACCCTCCCGGCCTGGTGCAGGGCTTCCTCTTTCCTGCAACAGGATCACAGCTACACGCAGAGCAGTTAGAAAACGGGGCTTAACGGAAGCAAAGTTGCACAAAGTTGCACAGTTTCACAACTACCAAGAGGAGAGAAGGACTAGCTTTCGTTAAATACTTTCTGAACTCCAGACTCTCCGCAAATAATTTTCTATGATCCCTATAATAGTCCCACAAAGCAGCAATCGTCCCCATTACACAGCAGTGGAAACTGGGGCCCAGAGACGTTTTAATAACTTTCTTGAGGTCACCTAAGGGATAAGACTGACAGAGTCAATATTCAGATCCAGACTTTTATGACTAAAAGCCCGGCCCTGCTTGGCTCTTATCAGTGCTGCCAACCATCTGGATATCTGGAAACAGTATGAAGTCGGAATTGTTCACTTTGCCGCTGGATATTTGAGTTATAGAGACAAAGCCTCTATTATTCATGATCACAGGCCATTCCCTGTAGGACTGCCAAGGCTATAAACTTTAATCTCTTGTTTGGGGAAATAGAAATTATACCTCCTCCACAGGAGGTGGATCTTATATCCTCTGGCACGAGGCTTGGTGAAGGGTGGAGGGAAAGATGCTTGAACTACGGAGCAAATTTACTAGGACAAGGAGCGTGGATAAAGCCCACAGAGTAGGGTGCATGATCAAGAGCAGGGTTTGGGAGGCTGGGCTGGGAGACCTTGCAGCTGTGTGACCTGGGGCTATTCAACCTCTCTGAGCTTCAGTTTTGGGTACTTGTGAAATGAGGCAATTGAGAGTTATCAGCCTCACAGGAGAATGGAGAAACCTCGACACAGATCCTGGTACTCAATAAAAGAGTCTATTATGGATATTATTTATTGCTTTTGTGAACAGTGTGGGTTGAGGACACTAAGCACTTAGACGGGTATCCGGAATACAGGAAGCGATCAAGAAGAGGCTGGCTGTAATTGCTGGCATAGCAAGAGCCATGTGAAATGGACTAGGCTGATTTCCTCTGGCTGCCTCCTCCTACCATGTTTTGTGTACTATTAAAAGGGTTTAAAGGGCTACTAGTAGACTGCCACTTGCATGATTCTAAATTCTCTGTGTTCTTTGGAGGAAAGTTGCCTCATTAAAGTAATTTCTATTTGCCTGCCCGGTGGATGGGTGAGCAGGAGAATGAAGTACTGTGGCAAAGTGATTTGTAAGCATTAAAAAACAAAAATCTGTCTCTGCATACAGGGGCGGGGATGAACGTTATTAATCCAAATGAAGCTGATTTTGGAAGTAAATAGCACTTGACCTTAGAACACAGGAATACTACACTTGACCTCTGCCTGGCTCCTCTCCTCTTTGGATTTATGTATCTCCATTATCTGTCTGAGCTCTTCTTGGAGGAGAGTAAGACGATTCTCATAAATAACTCAGTCCAATATTGAGTGATCTAGGTGCTTAATAAATAGCTTCAAAAGATAAGGGCTAAATTTTCCATTTTCCTTAGTTCTAGGAATGAAGGAGGAACCGCAGCTGAAGAGACCTTAGAGATCATGCAGCTCAACTCCTTTTTATGTAAACTGGACACTGAGTCCAGAGGTCATGGGTATTGTCTGGAGTCACATTGCCAGAGTCTCAGCTTAGACCTTATGACTCCCAAGGCCGGGGATCCTTGCTGACTTGTGTTTTGTCTTCTCTCATGGAAATGTCCCGCTGTGACCAAGCACAGTGACCACCAGATGAAGGGCTCACCAGGAGGGGGCAGGGCAGGCTGGATGGGCTTTAAGATCCAGGTAACAAACTTTTAGGACATGGTGGAATGTATCTCAAAAGGCTTCTTCGGCAACTAACTTAACAACTGATTCACGTCTCTTCTCCCTGAAAATCTTTAAAAGATATTTAGGAATTTATTTCACATCGTTTTAGAACTGTGCCATCTAATACAATAACCACCAGCCACAGGTGTAAGTGTCAACTGAATTTAAACAAAATGAGTAATATTTAAAATTATTATTTTATTTTTGGGAGGTACTGAGGATTGAACTCAGGGACATTCAACAGGGTCTCACTGAGTTGCTTAGCACCTAGCTTTTGCTGAGGCTGGCTTTGAACTCGAGATCCTCCTGCCTCAGCCTCCTGAGCCACTGGGATTAAAATTCACTCACTTCTTTGGTGGAACTAGCCGTGTTTTAAGTGCTCATGAGCCTCAGGTGGCTAGTGGCTATGGACAAACAGTACAGATGCAGCCCGTGTCCATCACTCAGAAAGTGTGATTGAACAGCACTATTGTAGACAGCAGGATCCCAGCAAGCTAGACAGTGGAAATAGACTGGGAAGACATTTCTAAATCATGGAGATTTATGGAGGGGACCTACCAAGAAGAAGGTGGGTTAACTGCCTTCTGGGTTCACAGAAAATATGATTATTCCCATAAGAGCAGAGACCTGTGGAGGTCTTTTCTGTGCAATCAGTGTAGAAATGTCCTTAAATCCCTCCTGTCTTGGAAAGTCTTCTCTGACAATGTCCTCAGGTCTTTTTTCCTCTTCAGACACATTGGAAAAATTCTTCAAGGGAAAGATGCCTGCAGGCTGCTTCTCTTGGGCTTCATCCAATATCTACCACCCCAATTGACTCCTGAAATGGTGTGCTCTTAGTCGGGGTGAATCAAGTGCATTTCCCCGGGAGAGCTGTCATTCATTCATTGAGGCTGGTCTCATAAAGAACATCAGCGAAAGCAATTTTGGAATATGGTTGGGGGTGGGGAAAGCTGAAGAAGTCACGGGACACCCTACGTCAGTGACTCACAGAGCACTTTGTCATGGTCAATCCTGCACGTCAACATCAGCCCCTAGCATCTTTCCTCTTTCAACCATAATCCCTATACCATGGCTGGCACTGAGGGTGTTCTCCACAAATAATAAGTGACTCAAATCTGACAGGCTTATACAGCCACTAAAACTCCAGATTCTTCTATGGAAAGAACAGCACTCTTCATTTTTTCTCTTCCTTCTCACCAGTGCTGATGGTCCTGGGAGCCACCCAAAAGATATTTGCTGAGCTGGTCACCGGTGGCACACACCTGTAATCTCAGCAGCTCAGGAGACTGAGGCAGGAGGATCTCGAGTTCAAAGCCAGCCTCAGCAACTTAGCAAGGCCCTAAGCAACTCAGCGAAACTTTGTCCCTAAATAAAATTTAAAAAAGGGCTGGGGATGTGACTCAGTGTTAAAGTGCCCCTGGGTTCAATGCCCGGTACCAAAATAAAATTTAAAAAGATGTTTGCTGAATGAATAAGTCTGCTTTGAGGTCCTATTTTCAACCAAATGTTCTTTGATGAAAATAGGATTCCGCATTACTCTTCAGTGTTAACACCCAAAGCAGAAAGGCCCCAGCCTTCCAACAGGATTAGAAATGGGCTGTTGGCTTTAGGAATGCAGTAAACATTCAGGGGCCTGTGCAGCCGTTAACCATCTCCTTTAGCTGAGTGCCAAATCTGTTTTCAATTATCAAATCGGGACATAGTAATTTATGGCATCCACGCAGCTACTTTCCCAGTGAGATACTTGCTCTGCTGGGTCCTGTGTGTCCTTGTTTGCCTGTTGCTATGGTGACTGCTGGTCTTGGGAAGAGGAGACCCGGGACCATGAGGCCCTATCCTCTCTGCTGCTGCTGACAAGACAGGGAGCTAACCCTCCACCAAGTACAGACCCCAGCTGCTCTTGGGGACAGCTGAGCTGCTTCTCGGAGGGCTCCCCACGTCGACAGCACACAGGCCAAGGTGACATGTGCAAAACTTATGGACCGTATATGTGAGCATTAGGGGTACATTCTAGGGACAAAAGGACTGATTTCAAACAATGGGAAATTCATATTTAATTGAGCAACAGTAATCCAAGAGAAGACAAGGAAGCCGGGGGGAAGTACAAAGATTCTTTGTAACGGTTTCCCCAAGTCACATTATTTAAATTCAACTTTTAAAAAAATCCCTTTTCATTAATAGGAGCACATAGGTTTTTTAGACCCCTGGTTCTTGTTGTATAGAGAGAAACACAGCTATTGACTTTAATATAATACTTTTTTTTTTTTTGGTACTGTGGATTGAACCCAGGGGCACCAAAATATACTACTTTTATTAACTTGTACCAGTATAAATTTGGTACTATTGATTTCCTCAGATAATTGGAGACTATAAAGGTTATGCACAACATGGTATTAGTTGTTTATTGTTTTCTAAAAGCGAACAACCAAGAGTCTATAATTCTCTCTAGGTCTTCTCCCAAACTAAGGGGCATTTTCTGGCCTGTGAGATGATTCAGAGGCACAATGCAGGCAGCTCTACCTGAAAATAAGATTCTCTTACTTTAGAAGCAATCCCGGGGGACATCTATGAATGGTTTAATGTTATAAAGGTTTCATAATGAGTCTTTAAAGAGTCTTGGGCAGAAAATTTCCACTTATATAAAAGTACAGCTTTATTTTAAAGTCTGCCTGGTTAATGCTCATTTCCTCTGTTGCGAGAATTATTATTGTCCTTCTATTCACCCTGGGTAGCGTTACTTCTGGTGCCTGCTTGTGGCTTAACTATGTGTATGTGCCATGCAAATATTCTTCAAACTGCTAAGCCCCGGTTGAGGTAGGAAGAGAGAGGGGGCCTCTAAGGACAGGCAAAGAGAACACTTGCCCATTCTCTCCAGGTCTTCTCTGTCTTTATCCACCAGAGTGCTCTGTCTTTACCCACTCTCCTAAGGAAAGTTCTTTATTGTTCCATAGATCTCAATGTTAGCAAGTTTTCCTAGGCTATAACCTGAATTCTTGTAACTGCAGTTTCCAGAAAATAGAAAAAATTATTACAACAACAAAAAACAAACAAACAAAAAAAAACAAGACACACAAAACTAATGCATGCTTCAGGCAAGGGTTCTGGAAGGTTCCATGGGCTAAAGATCCCTGAGTCTTTCCATATTTTGTGGATCCTCAAAGCACTTAATAAATGTTTATTTAACAAATCAATGAGTTAATCTATACTTCATTGTACATTCCCTGTGAGCTATTTCATAACTTTTATGAGACAGAGTCTTCATTGGGTTTAACTCTGCAAAAATTAAGAACCATGAGATTCAACCACCATTTAAAAGTGGGGAGTCCAACTAATCACCAATGTCTCCTTTCTCTAAAGAATGGGACAGGAGGGTTTCTTAAACTGTGCCATGCCCACCAAGCCCTGGGATCTTGTTAAAGCCCAAACTCTAAGATAGGAGGTCTGGGGTAGAACTGAGATTCTGCATTTCTAACAAGCTTCCAGGAAGCCAAGGCTGCTGGTCACAGGAACTACACTCTGAGCAGCAAGGACATAAAGTCTCAGTTTGAATGATGCCTCCCCCAAGTCGCAGGCCCCAAGGGGCATCCTCTTACCTTCTCCGACTGTTGACAGCAATGCAGACTGCGAGAATCAAAGCCAGGGCCAAGAGGGAGGCCAAGATGATGAGCCACTCTGGTGTGAAGCAACCAAAGGACACGCGTGAGCTTTGGAAATGTACTTTGTAAAACCAAAAATGCAGTTTAAAAATCAACCTGTTTCAAATAAGAACCACAGTCAGCACCGAGAACCCTCCAACCAAAAGGTCCAGCCACCAGACAGGTCATTGTAAAATAAGAATTTTTCTGTAGCTGCTTGTCCAACAGGCCTCCTGAATGAATCTTTTATCATCCGTCAGCATTTTCAAGTCCTACCATGAGAATTTTCTTTCCAAAAACACCTAGAGTGACTTGATGAGACTTGTAGATGCCTTGGGTGCAGTATTATTAAATAGATTAAAGGAAATTTATGCTTCTTTTGAAAGAAACATTCTAAACAAAAATGAAGGTCACATTCTAGTGAGTGTGGCAAAGGACCCTGCTTGGGAGGTGGAAAGCGGGTGAATCTGTGCACACGTAATGAGGGTCATTTGGCTCCATTTGCAAAAGTTTTCAAAATATTCATGCTTTCGATCCCATAATTATACTTCCTGGAACTTATAGAATCTCAAAATTAGCTGTAAAGATGCACTTTACTGTGCTGTTTCTAATATTAAAAGTTGGGAACAACCCAATATCCAATGGTAGGGGATTGGTTAACTAAATTAGGATATATCCATTGTATATATCCAAGAAGAAAATAGTAAATTATATGAAAAAGCTGTGGTCAACCACCAGGAATGGTTGACCAGACCACACGTGCCATATAGTTCTATTTTTGTACATAAATTACATTGAAAGACAACAGGAAGAATACAGATGAAAATAGTAACCATGGAGCTTCTGAATGGTCAGATATGTTCGTCCATTTGTTTAGTTAGATTTTTGAAAACCTCTTTGATACTATGTATGACTGTGCCCTATTGAAATACCATACCCTTGTTTTAAGATCAGGCTTTGATAGGATTGAGGTAGGACTTGGCAAGTGCAAGTTTTATATGCTTGCAATGAGCCAGGGCTTGAGAAAGAAGAAAGATGGAAAGTCATTCATTGTGCACTTTCTTGAGAAGTCTTGGTTTCCTCCTATTTCCTGCTGGGTACCACCTTTGGCTCATCTTAAGTAGTGGGGAGGCTGACGGGAGTGTACTATTTCTCCAGCCTAAGCTGCACCTTGGCCCTGGTCTCTGGTCCTGAGATGTTCCACGTCCACTCTCACTTGTGCTGGGAAGACGCCTCCTGCCAATCACAGCTTCTGCATTTCCCTTCTCCTTCCCTCTCCTCCCTGGCAGCCCATCCCCTCTCTCCAGAGGCTCTGCCTTCAAGTGTGCTCAGACAAGCCGAGGCAGAGGAGCCAGGCATATACCACATTCTTCTCTTTCCCCACGGCTGGCTCAGTTCAGAGCCCTCCAAAGAGGGGAGAATTAAAAGGGTAATTTACAATGCTGGGAGAGCCCTTCCCTTCTGCAATCGCCCTTTACCAATGGTCAGTTCTGATCCTGAGCCAAATAAAGAACTGGCTTCAGATGTCTCAAATCTTGACACTCTTAAAAGCCAGAGTCCACCCCGTTCACTACTTGCACATGTAATATTTTCTGAAAAGGTTTTTTTTTGACTGGATCAGTGGATTGACCCTCATGAAAAAAGTAATGAAGGGAAAAGAAGAATGTTTTTGCTCCACCCAACACAGATGGTCCTTATGTCTTCTCCTTATTTGCAATGCAAAAAAAAAAAAACAAAAAACCCAGCCCAAGAAATAAAGGGGACAGTGGGTGGGAATAGGAAGGTCCTAGGAGAGCTGGGGTGATCACTCATTTGTGAAGAAAACTTTAGTAAATAACATAGCACTTCCCTGAGACAGGCCAGGGATCTGAATGTGAGCTCAGCCCATCTAGGTGACCCAGGGGACCAAGGAAACAAGAGTGTTCCATCCTTTTCTTCCAAGAAGCATGGTACTCTCATTCATTCTCAAACTTTCAAAGAGAAGCCATCAGGTTCAGGGGAACTTAATTTAGGAGAATGGGCATTTGATTGGGTTATTGGGGTTTCTTCTTCTTCTTCTTGGAACATTCTGAGAAACTTTCTTTGAATATATATATATATTTGCTTCACAGTTTGAAACTCACCTGGAATGTGGGGTTTCCTTATAGGCCCAGAAGTTGTGGTTGCCCCACCTTCTTGACTCCCACTTGAATGTCCTAAGGGGAAAAGCAACAAGATCTCTTAGCTCAAGTTTGGAATGCACAACCAGGAGTTCTTTCCAGAGCAACACGTGGGGCCAAGTTCCAAGGTCTGCATCACTAAGAAACTATTTATAGATTGAAGCCATAGACATTTATGGTGTTATGTAAAAGACATTGCAAGACAATCCATCCCCCCTCAACAAGAGTTCCATGCAATTAAGGGGAAGGCTCAGAAACGCTATTTTGGGTCAAGGAACATGAAAATGCTTAGAAGCTGGGTGGTGCAGTGGTTAAGACTTTGGGCTCTAGCTAGGCAGCCTTGGATTCCAAGTCCTACATCTGCCTCTTGCTAACAATGTGGGCTGGGTCAAATTACCCTCCTTAAGTCTTGGTTTTCTCACTTATGAAATGGGGATGATAATAATAGAATCTACTTAATCATCATGTCACAGAGACTTAAAGGACTATGCAGTCGTGGTAGTTGGGTGTAGTTATTAATCTCTATGTTTAATTTAGGACCTTGCTCCTCCAAGGGTGGCTCCTAGGCTGGCATAGGCATCACTTGGGAGCTCACCAGGAATGCAGAATGTCAGGCCTTCCTACAAACCTACCGAAGCAGAGTCTTCATTTTAACTAGATCTCTAGGGGATGCAACAGTCAGTTCTGGTCCTGAGCCAAATAAAGAATCGGCTTCAGATGTCTCAAATCTTGACACTCTTAAAAGTCAGGTGTCCACCCCTCTCACTGCTTGCCCATGTAATGTCCAAACTGAATCTAAATATCACCTCTAATATCATCACAGAAGCCAAAAAAAAAAAAAAAACACCAAATAATAAGGATCTGGGAGCGATGACCTTTTCTGTCAATGAAAAAAATCACCCTTGTAGATTCCTTACCCATGTATTAGTGGAACACACCTTTGTTGGAAAAAATGAACATTTTCTACTACTAAATATTGTAATAATAAGGAAATGATCCCAAAGTCCCAAATGGGAGGGAAGCATTGCAAGACCTACAATCCACAAGTCAAAACAATAGGTGGCTTATCAAAATGAGAAGGGCATCATATTAAAATTAAAACCACAACAACAAAACCCCTCTAAGACACTTTGCTAAGAGACTCACCTAAACTAAAGCTTCATAAATTTTGTGTTTGTTTTTGCCTTTTGATGCTTCCTCTACTACCTGAGAGCAAAACTTGAAAATGTCCTACTACAATGAGCTTTTTCCTCTAGCAAATAGGAACCTGCCATAATCTACCGAAGGCCACTGAGGAGAGAAAACTCAGATGTTCAGCCAGTCAGCGGATTTAGACAGCAGGGACTTAAATGAATAGCTTTTCTTAGAGAGTCAGACTTTGGAATCTGCAGAACAGACCCTGAAATCTTGATTACAGTGATTATTTGGTGTAGGAAGACTCCTGTTTACATAATTCGATGTTTTTGTTAAAACTCATAATAGAGCAAATTCTTACCAGATGTCTTACTGTTTCAACATACTCCAGCCCATTTTTGACAATGGCCTTTTACTCCACAAACCTCAAAAGTATCCAAAGCACTTACCCTAAGTGCCTGCCAGGGTCCTTGGTCATTGGCAGGTCTTCACCTGCGCAAGTCGTGGGATAGTGGCCATCTAAGTTGGAGATCTTTGGCCTTGGAAACCACCTAAGGTACAGTCACTCTCTCTGGTCTTTTTTTTTTTTTTTTTTTCTGACTCACAGCAGCCTTTGATATTTGAAAGGGAGACCATTAATAGATCATAATCTCTTTATTTTGATTTTCCAAAAAGTGCTCCCAGCAAGGAAAGATCTGGGTGTGTACACAACAACATGAAACCTCCTGTTTGAACAATAGACACCTGCACAGGAGCCAAACAAAGAGACCAGCTCCCGCCCACCAGGTTCTCACTTCAAGCAAAAGCTCAAGAGGATGGACAAGAGACAGCAGGCTCCCCTGAGCCAGAGAGGTCTACAAATTCATCTAGGGTAGGACTGGCAGGGAGAGCAAGTTCTGCAAAGAGGGGCACTGGGCACCCTTGTTGGGAGGTGAGACCCAACCTGAGACACGGGCAGAGAGCCTTCATTTGGCTTCAGCTGTGAGAAAGGCAGTGGAGGAGAGAGCTTCTCAAACTTTGACTTCTACACAAACCACCTGGGGGGTGTTAAAATGCAAATGCTAATCCAGTCTGTCTGCGTTGGCCAGAGATTCTGCATTTCTAGCCAGCTCCTGAGTGGTGTCTCTGCTGCGGGTCCAAGGACCACACTTCAGAGTAGCTGGAGTCTTTTGGTTTCAAAGAGCAGGACTTTTAATAATAACTCCCTACTGTTTCCAAAATATTTGCACATTCCTGACACCTTGTGCTCCTCATAAAAACTCTAGGGGGTAAGCGAGGCTGGTTGATCTGATCTGCTCTTTACTAATAGGATCCGAGACTGGGAAAGGTCAAGGGCCCTACCCAAGGAACCTTCAACTTCTGTCTCTACTTCAGAAGCATTTCAAATGAGCCCTACATTCCCATGCTCTTCCATAAAGGGTTATTATCAAAGCCACCATGTAACTATCCATTTTCAGATTGGCTTTAAATCTGCAGGCGATCCTTGCCCCAATTTGGGCATGAAGGGGAGGATGATAATTTACGTGGATTAACTGGTTTGTGTGAGGTCACCTGGATTTGCAGTGCTAACGGAGAACCACAGTAGGCAGCCATGGCAGAGCCTCTCACTAGCCCCAGCATGAGAGATCAGCTGCCTCATGTCAAACTTTTGCTGCCGGAAGTACTGTTTTCAGGGATGAGATCTGAGAGCAAACAGGAATCTATTTAATAATGTGTGCCTGGCAGTAACTATGGTCATAATGGGCTGCTTTCTCTAGACTGTGCTTATGAGAGGCAATGCATCTCTGGGTTTAACACCTGACTCTGTCACTCAATGGTCATGCCAATTTGGTTACTTACTTACCTTCTCTGAGCCTTAGTTTCCTCATCTGGAACATGGGAATGAAAAATGGTCCTTATATATGACACAGGGTTTGTAGTCTAATTAAATGAATCAATATTAGATGAACTTTGAATTTGATAATTATTGATAATTATTGCCCTAGAGAAATAGAAGAAATAGCAGTTGCATATGGTCTAACCTCTGAAGTGTTTTGAACAACGCTGCTAACACTCAGTAAACTCTTAAATGCTAGCCATTGTATCATGTGACTTTAAATCAATGCCCTGTGACAAATTATCGCAAATTTATTAGTTAGGAAACTGAATCTCCAACCCTTTGTGTATCTTTCTTGGTTAATGTGTAGAGGAACTGGGATCAGGATATTCCTCTTTCAGACTCACACTCTTAGTCATTCTGGCAGATGGCGAATGTTAACAAGCAGCCCTGCTTGGATTCTCGCTGATCCTTTCAGATGGAAGACTTGCCTCCAGAGCAGTAGTTCTCAAAGTGTGGTCCCTGTCCCAGAAGCATCAGCATTACCAGAGAATTTATTAGAAGTACAAACACTTGGGCTGCACCCCAGACCTACTGAATCAGAAACTTTCAGGGTGGGGCCCCAGCAATGTGACTTCACTCACCCTCCCTGCGATTGTAATGCATGCTAAAAATGTGTGAACAACTTCTCAGGAGACACTGACTCACACTTCATTGGTAATCTTCAGGTTCAAGGATTATAACAGTCAACGACTACAGCAGTTTCAAACTCACCAGCAGATCCAGATCCATGTGTGGTATGGGACCTCCCACCTGCGTCTTGGTCTCCTGTCATGGGCAATGATGGAAGGTCAGTATGGTGCACTTGCATTTTCATACAACCCGTCCCTGGGTTTAATCTTTTAAAGGTGAGCAAGGAATGATGGGAAGAGACTGGAATGGGCCCATGATATTAATGACTGCTCACGGCTTGGTGCAGTGATGAGTGCACTGGAACTTTAATCGGAATTAAGGGAGCTGAGGTAGCATAGGTCCTCCAGGATGACCCTAGGAGATGTGCTTTTGGTAGAAATCCAAGGACGGCGGCAAAGAACTCTCCCACAAAAATATGATGCCCTCACAGGTCTGAGGTTGGGACTGGACATTGTGTATTTTAAATAAAGACAGTAAAAATTGGATTATGAGACTTGTGATCACTGTGTACTCTGGCTCAGGGCATGGAACACTTAAAGAGACTTCTTGAAGGCAGGAAATGAGTTAAAATTAAAAAAATCTTGTGATGGAATGATTTAAAGATTCAAAAAGAAAAGTCAACCACCTATTTAGGGGAAAGGGGGTAAAATAAAAGTGAAAAAAGAAATCGTGAGATGGTAACATGTGAACCATGTGTATCCAGGTATTAGAATTAGTTCTTAATGATTTTTCAAAAGTCAAGTCTATATTTTCAATACCAGTAGTTGATATAATCCCATCTTCTCAAACATCCATTACTATGAAGCTTAATCTTAGACCAACTCAAGAATTGCTAAAATCTATATCTACAGGTCAAATCCCGGATTTAGCCTATGGAAATTTCCTGTCTTCTCCACCCCACCCCAACACCATATTAAAAAAAAATACTAATCATACTAGAATGTTGTTTTTAAAAAAATCACGATAATGGTTTCATAAAGTGGCTGTAGTCATCCATTGAGAAGGTACCTGGAAAGAAAACAGTAACCTGATCGTCCTCATTTCCCTGATGAGGAAAGGTGATCACCCTCATAATTATATTAGAGAGATCGCTTTGTTCCTTGGTTGATGGTTAGAATAGCAGACGGCAGCACTTGCTGAAATGCCCCATTGTAATCCCCGATACCAAAAGCACCACCACCATCACCAAAACCATCACCAGCACTGCCACCACGGTTCTGAAAGAGTTAGTTCTCAGTTATAAACATAGAGACTGAGAAAAATATATGGGCAGAAATACACTTGGATGAGTGTTTGAATGAAAACCAAGGATGGGAATCAGACTATTCACTAATCATTTACTCCACGGGGAACCATGAAAAGTCTGTCCGTATGGTTACCACCTCTTGTACACTCCATAGAAGGGATCAGTATCTGGGAATACAGATTGTATAGAAGGCTTTTTATCACCAAGGTTTTGTAAACCTTATAGGATACTGTAACTATTAAAATTGCTGTTTAAAATTTAAATCCATTAGGTTGCACAACAGGTCTTATTTTGCCAAGAGAAACTAAGCAGTACTCTTTTTTTTTTTTTTGTACTAGGGATTATACTCAGGGCCACTCAACCAATGAGCCACATCCCCAGCCCTATTTTGTATTTTATTTAGAGACAGGGTCTCACTGAGTTGCTTAGTGCCTCGCTTTTGCTGAGGCTGGCTTTGAATTCATGATCCTCCTGTCTCGGCCTCCAGAGCTGCTGAGATTACAGGGGTGCTCCCAGGTGGCAGTACTCATGACATTCACTTCTCCAGAAGAAATCCAACAGTAATTCTTGGAGTTTTTAGCAAGGAAGAATAGAACCGTGCTAAATGGAAAAAAAAAAAAAAAAACAAGAAATGTGAGGGGGCTCTGTCCTGCCAGTATTGCTGAGGTCAGTATTTTTCTTTGAAATCCTGGTGTGGGCAGCCCAAAAGAAAGGCCAAACAAGTGACCTTCTAGAATTTCTTTTCCTACATCAGGCATAGCATCACACAGCCACCTGTGTTATGTACTGGTTTCATATTTTTTTTTCTTCTTTTGGGAGGAAGGGTTGTGGAGGGAGGGACTCTGTTATAAAAAAAATGTATATTTAAATTCACTAATTTTTAATACATTAATGAGCCATAAGAAGTACTCAAATAGCTGATACTAGGAAGAGGGAATTTGTTTTTAGTTTCCTAGCTAGAGAGAATGTTTTCTAGTTCCCCCCTTTTTACTGTGAATTTCTTAATGCACAGTGAGAAACAAACAAAAGAATAATTAGAGAACTGCTTATTTGAGAAGAAAAGTCTCATTCCAAGTGCATATCAGACTTAATTGAATAAGTCATTTCTTTGCCATTACAATAAAAGAAGTGGTTTCTATTCATTAATAGTAGATTGGATCATGAAGCTTTTAGTGCGTCATAACTAGAAGAGATTAGCCACCAGCCCATCACCAAAGGTAAAATTGATCAATCCATCACCAAAAAAAGATAATAGAGGAAATTACTCACACGTTTGGGTAAACTATACTAAATAGGCAGCATATATTAGTTGACTCAAATGAAATTGCCAATATTCAATTTTTTTCCACAAAACCATTAATTTCATATGGTTCAACTTGATAGATCACCAGATGAGGAAGAAGACAAAGAAAGAAATCTCACCATAGCAACCAAGTCACACACACACACACAAAAAAAAAATGGAAAGTGCCCTGGTAAATGGAAGCATTATTTTTATCCTAAATAAACCTGAGTTTACTGACGGTAGAGTTGGTGTCCAGGATGAAAGTCACAAAGTTGCCTAATCACAGCCTACATAGAAAATAGCCCTTTAATAGGAAAAAAAGTGCATGTGGTCTCTCTCTGTAAAGAAAGCAAACCAGATAACAAGTGGCCAAATTACCTGGTAAAGAGCCATCAACATTAGAGGTGAAATCTCCAACAGGAACTTCAGTGACTCCAAAGACCCCAGGCTGAGCAGGGGTCACTGGCATGAGGGTCCTGTTTTCCCTTGTGTCTGGGTAGTGGGAGGTTTTACCTTCCAATGAGGTAGTGGAGTCTTCAGGAGGATTTCCACCTCTTCTTCCACCTCTGCCATCATTCCTATCTGTGTGGAGGTGGAATCGATGAAAACCCCACCTGTGTAAGATCACCACCCTCCACGTGCTTCTTTTCAGAGCATGCGATTGCTACAAAAGCCTTCCTCTTGTTATCCAAGAACAAAAGCAAAAGACAGGGAAGTTGGTCACACTATGGAACAAAACTTGTATTTTTCAATAGATGCCACCTGGACGGCACTCAACAGAAGTGATTGTGATACCCAGAAGAAGCGTTTGTTGAAACATCTGCCTGAGCTGTTAAGGTAAGGCTTAGGCCGCGACAGCTGTGGCCTTGAAGTCAGCTCAGGCACTCGACAATTTTGCTCTCTTTTTCAGTGGAATCCACCTTCAAAGATCTAGAAGGAACACCGCATTGAAAAGCAAAGCGTGAAAGATGAAAATTATGCTGCCTGCAAGTGAAATAGAAAACACAAGTTTTCAAAGACCTAAGGCTACTAACTTAACTCTTCCTGCCTTTTCCAGGAGGGCACTGCTTCTTGGTCACCAGCACCTCAGAGTTGCGTTCCAGAGGTCAAATGGCAAAATAATATTGTTAATGTAAAGAATGTAAAGTGATGGAATCAGACTTTTACAGCAATCGCAAATAGTAAGGAAGCAATACATTGTTTTTAAACCAAGTCACCAACTCTAGAGCTTGAGAAGTATGGCCTTGGAGATTAAGCAACACAGTTTACATTTAACGTACAATGGCTTCTAAGAGGTCGACAGAGCAGAAAATGCAGAGACCACCACCAGATGCACCTTTTGATCAAAAGAAACAGTATAGCAACAGCCAGCTGAGGTCCCTCCACCAAAGACATGGAAAAAGCACCCTTAAAATAGTGGTGTTTATCAACAGCTGAAGCCAACTGAGCTTTATTATCCTTACTGCCAGATGTGATAGTAGAAACTGTTGTTTGCTCTTTATCTTCTTCCAGTTCTCCATGTGACGTAGAGAAGCTCTGGGAATGACTGTGCTCTGTTTCAATGAGGGATGAAGCCAGTGTTATTTTGAACCATAATACAAGTCCTCTGAGATCTGCTAACAGGAAGGATCTACGCACAGGTGCATGGGGAGAACGAGATGTGCCACACCACAGGGAGAAATATGCAGAAGAATTCCATTTTGTCCCTACCTTCTTCCCCTTTGTCTCTGGGTACAACCCATCAAGGTCAAGTGCCAAGGTGAAGCCTGAACCAGAACTCCCCACCCACCATGAATCAGCCCAGTTCCCACTACAGCATGGCACCCAGACCCTCAAGAAAACCAGAGAACACGGAGACATGGAAAAGGAATATTTAAACTTTAGTGTTCCTATGAGTAGTCAAAAGCATCTAATTTCGGGTCAACAAACAGGACTGTAGGAAAAAAAAATAACACTGTGTAGGATACCTGTAACCACAGAAGAGAAAGGATCCCATTTAGGATGACCTGCTTCAGTAACTCAAATCAAATTTATACAAGGAAATACATAACTCCCTTCTAAAAACCATTAAGTGAAAGATACCATTTCATTCTATTATTGGTTTTTTGATCTCGTCTGTGGACAGGGATTCTCATCACTGCACCAAGGAAATGGTTCCCTGGGCAAACACAGGACCCTCGGTGTTCTGAGGTTGAACCGTTGCCCATAACTGAAATCACTTTGAGTGTTTTGAATTCATTACATTTGCATTCTTCTAGGAAAGGTACTGACCTTTGAGTTGCAGGTGCAAGCACTCCATAAAACACACCCATCAGCCATGACCACCACCAAATAAACATTACCAAGAGACAGACATCCACCAAATCCCAAACCCAACATCAGAACAAAAGCCAGAAGAAACATAAAATGGAAATACAAGCTCTTCAGTGGCAGAAGCCAGTTCATAGGCTTATTTACAGCTCCTTTGATGCTTCACACTGTGCTATTTATATGGCCGACAATCAACACATGCTTGCTGATCTTTTGCTGGGCCTCAAGGGCTCATATAAAAGACTCTCCCCACTATGAGTAGGAAGCAGTAAAATGAGACCCTCTCTATTCTGGCTTTCCTTCATATTCTGCCAAGAAATTATGAATGACTTCAGCCTGATCTCTAGGATTTGCCTGTACATATGGTGAAAAATAAGGCTACTTGAAGTTTAATGCTGCTTCCTACCGAATGCTTAGTGATAAAAAAAAGGGGGAGGCATTGGCAAATGTTCCTTTCTTTTGTCCAGGTCTTCGGGGACCCTGCCACCCTTGTCAATTGTCCACAATGTGCCTTGCCCCTCCTCTCTCTGACGATCTGGCTCCCAAAAATGTCTTTTCCAAGCATGAAAGCAATCTGTCTGCCTCTACTGAAGCAAGGCTGGGAGTCCAAGGAGGTGGTCAGTTAAAACCAAGAGAAACCTCTGTCCTCTCTGAGGTCTTGGGTGTCCCTGATATGAGTACCTAGAATGCATTTGGACATCCATTTTTATCTTCTTCCTTCCTTCCTGATCTTTCCTTTCTCCTTTGTTCTTTCTTCCTCCCTTTCTCTCCTTCCTTCTTATTTTTGCTCTTTCTTCCTCTTTTCCTTCTTTCCTTTCCCCTCCCCCTGCAGAAAGTCATTGAATCTGGAAGGCACCAAGAATGAAGGTAATGTCAGGTTTCAACGACCCACGAGAAATATAAATAAGGAAGACAGCGTGACACCCCGGGCTGAGCAGAGCCACGTAGCAAAAAAAAAAACAAAAAACAAAAAAACAACGCACGATTCCTCCACCAAACACTGCATCTTGACCAACATGGGAAAGAGCCGAAGCAGGAAGAGAGGTCAACAAACAAGGCTGAGTGTCATCATCCTTACGAGTTGTCACTGAAATAGGTCCTGTCCCGTTGACGTCTTCCACCGAATCTGTGTTTGGATCGACAGGAGGCTGAAGCGTTGTACTATGACTGGAGTCCACATCTGAAGGAATTAAATCAGTGTTATTGCTTTATGTCCTAAACCACGGCCTAAGGGTCATTTATGTTCTGTAGCCAGAGGAAAGAAAGCACATAACTGATTGCAGAGCTCCAGAGTGGGGATGATTGTTGTTTCTCAGAATGTCACAAGAAGTAACCAGCTTTCCCTGGAGGGCGGAGTGGTCTCAAAATCATGATTTTGGTTTGTATTTGCTGAGTCTAGAAAGATGCTACATGAGCACAGGATGGGACTCCCAAGCTTTGCAGAGGCAGAAACATAACCCATGCTAGTCCCATTCCGTGTCCATGGCCTTTCTTAGACACGCAGAATCACCTCCCACCTAGTAGGCAAAATGACTTTTTAACACCCTTCTTCCCTCATTGAGTCCTTTCTTGTTTCACAAAGTGAACATGTAAATAAAACTGGGGAAAAAAAAAACAATCATTACACAATACTACCTAGGCAGAGGCCACAGGAAGTAGCAGGGACAAGAAACAAGAAGCAGTGTATGTCACCGAGTCCCTCCCCAGGAAGAACAAATACGAGGTATCTTTGAAGTTGACTCTCTCTAGTGATGAGTGGTGCAGAAACTTAGCACCAAAGTATTTGAGATCCTATTTTTAATAGTTATCACAGGTCTATTCTGCTGAAAAAACAAATCCTGAGGGAAACAGCGGCCAAAGGTTGAGTCAATCCACCCACACTATTGCCTCTGGGGAAATGTAATCAGTTCCAAATGGCTCCAGAGGGGAGTGCTGAAATACTGGGCACCGCATCTGCACGGAAGTCTTCGCAATCGAAAAGCGAAGATCATCCAGATCTTTGCAGGACAGGAATGTATGGCCGACTCTACTATCTCAGATTTCAAAGAAGAGGAAAGGCCAACTAACTCAAATTAAAATTCCTAGTAGAAATTCTTGTTCATTTTCCTTTTTACTCATAGACTCCTTCAAGAGGGAGTAGGCTCAGTTGAAGCCAGCGGTATTGTCCTTACCTGCTCACCATGTAATGGGATCCCTGTCTCTGCCTCAGTTTGAAGACCCTTCAGTTTGATTCTGATGATCTTTTACTGCCTTTGTTTTCTACTGGATGTCACCAGAGCCCCCAGGAGCCATGCTGCACTAAAATGTGTGCAGAGGCTGCGTGAGGCACTACAGGAACTCAGCGCAATGGCCCCAACCTAGCCACTCAACGCTTCTTCCCTATGACAAGGGATCCACCAATCTGACATGGTTATTTCTCTCCTTTTCTTCCTTTGTGGCCTTCCTTATGTGAATCTCCTTTTGTTAAAAAGAAAATCTTTTACTTCCTTTCTCTAACTACCCAAGTTTTTTTTTTTTCCCATTTCCCCCCAAACAGATCCAGTCCATCTTCCTCTAAAGCTCTCTGGAGGGTGTGGGATGCTCTGAATTTATTGAGCAATTACTGTTGGCAATAGTGATTTCACATCTCTTTCTGCTTCACATTGTTAGGTCTATTTTGATGCTAAATGCTTTCTTTTGCCAGCTCATTTTGTTTCTTAAAGAGCATGGGCTATGGATTATTCAACTTATTTACCACTGATAAAAGAGGAGCACTACATACTAACAATTCTCGAAGTTTTCTCCCAAGCAAACTGTCACCTGTTATGATGAAGAGAAATTCCTTCTAAGCATACAAGTTGATAGGATCAGTTCACAATATTCTAATCTTGCAGAACGATAACTACTGTCTTTTTCTCTCTCTTTTTGAATAGCTCATAGGTAAATAAGAAAGAAGGGTATTTAAGAAGTCAGGAATTCCATCTCATTTAAAAGTTGTTCACCCATTAAATTCATGAACATTCACTGAAAGCCAAGAAGAGTCTAAATTCCAAATCACTAAATACCATATTATCTCTAAATGTGACAAGAATAATCAAGTTTTCTGAGCCTTTTAGTCACTTTTTTGGTATAACTGCTCATCAACTCTTTAACCTCTCTGATTTTTCTGCCAAAGACAAGTTATTTCTTAGACTGCAATGGAAATAGTCACTGACTCCAAAACCTTGTTCTTTTGAAACCCTTGGGTTAGAAGTAAATGGAAGAGGGCTGGGATTGTGGCTCAGTGGTAGAGCGCTCGCCTAGCACATGCGGGGCCCTGGGTTCGATCCTCAGCACCACTATTTTAAATAAATAAATAAAAGTATTGTATCCAACTACAACTAAAACTTAAAAAAAAAACAGTAAATGGAAGAGCAATCTTGGGACTAACCCCTCCACATGGGAGAAGACTTCCACTTTCACAATATATAAACAATAATCCTTTAATGCTCTTACAAAATTATTTATTCTAATGTCAGGACTTCATATTCAGATGAATGTGTCTATTTCTCCTACCAAGAAAACTGAGTTCTGAAGAAATTTCAAGTTCCCAGGGAAAGTAGATTGGCCTAAAACCCAGGACACATTGCTAAGAGAAATAACTGCATGATTTTAAAAACATAATATATTCATTAATGATGGTGAAATGTGACGATCATTATTATCCAAAGTACAGGTTTGAAGACACGAATTGGTGTGAATATACTATGTATACAACCAGAGATACGAAAAATTGTGCTCTATATGTGAAATAAGAATTGTAATGCATTCTGCTGTTACATATATATATATATAAATTTCAAATGTTCAGAGGCTATTACCCATGGTTCTTTCTGTCTGATGACCTCGTCCCATTGGATGTGAGATTGGGTCAAAGTAATCAGTCCAGAAATAGTCCTCTTGACGCTGTGTTGTCATTCTTTGATCTGGATGGCCGTCGTGGACTGAAGCTTCTATGACCATGCAGTTCAAGCAATTGTCAAAGTGTTAATTGTCATTTGTCCAGGGAAACACTGATATTTTTTCAAAAGATTCTCTAGACCAAACATTACAACTCTCTTTCTAGTACACAGGGCAAAGAGATTTCATATACAGAATGTTTTAGCAGGTTTGGGTTCATTCACGCTCATTTTCTTGGCAACTGGCATGTGAACTAGAGGCCACAAAGCATTAACAATTTCTGCAGTGGATGCAGGATGAGTTATAGGCATCAAGGGAAGATGAAGAAACAGCTCTTGATCCGTGCCGTGTCAATCCCCTTAAGGGGAAAGTACAAGCACCCGAGTGCATGATGTCATGCAGAGGAAAACCACATTCCAGTGAAATACACAAAAGATAGTTAGTGATCTAGAGAAGGAATCAGATAGATAACAGATTGCCACGGGCTAAACATGAAAGTCAATACCATTCATCACCAAAGCATGAATGGAATCCATTAGAAACATAACCTCTTAACAATGGGACTCATGGCACAAATGACATATAAAAATGTGCCTTATGCCTCTGCCTCATTCTTCACCTATGGAGAAGGATAGATTAAAAAAAAGCTCACAACAGTATCTCCCCAGCAACAACCATAACCACATAGCCAGTCACTGAATCCCTTGCTCTACTAGGAATTCATTCAAAAGTTGCCATGCACGGGAAAGATATTCTGCATTCTATTCTATATTGCAAACGGAAACATGGGACTCTTTCCCACTGGTAGCAAGTAAGAATGTGAAATTCACATTCTTTACAAAGCAGGGTGTATCTCAGTACTTCAGTCACACAGACAAAAAGAATCATGCACAAGAGCTTGCAGAACTAAGTGATTTGGCATCACTTAGAGAGAATGCTATGACTTGAGTCCAATTTCTACAGTCCCACGATTCAAGAATAGAAGGGGTGACTTGGTGATACATATGAGGAAAGCAATTGTACACTCAAGGAGAAATCACCAAACAGATATGCACAAAAGCCCAAAAGATGTCAGCTAGGTGTCATTTTTCTCATAATATCGGGTTCTGCTTCTTTCTACTCTAGGGTTCTAACAACGTTCTTTCTCCGAAGCCTAGTATTTCGCATGGCCATATTATAAAGATGGGCCCACATTAGATAGTAGATTTCTTTACAAAAGGAAGCATTTTATAAGCTTAGTGTCTCTGTTATAATCTCACTAAGGAAGGCCCAAAGCTAGATCTGAAAGTGACATTCTCGAGGGCATATTCCCTGTGTTTCCTTTGTGTGCTTGTAGCTATTCCTGTTCAGGTGATTTTTTAGGAGCCTTTAGGGTTTGCCTCTGTGTTCACCACAACATGACTTTTTTCAGAAACCCAACAGGACCTTTCCTTCATTATTCTTTTGTCCCGTGTCCTCAGTGCTCAGTATTTAATTCAAAAGGAAGTTCCCACTCAAGTCTGCTTATTAAACCATCCATTACCAGTTGTCCCCGCTGTTGAATGAGATTCTCCTCTTGGTGTTTGGTGATATCCCCCGTGCCATCCATTCCCAAACCACTGTTCTCGCTGTGTGGCTGTTTCTTCTGTTGTACTACTAGAAGTTTCCCAGGCTGTGAGAAGAATGTCAATTGTGAGCCATCGTGGTCCCATTTCCTCATCAATAGCTCTTAAATACTTTAAGGGCACAGACTCATGAGGAGAGACAGTAGAAAAGGAAGACAACGAGGAGATACACCACTAATATTCAGAAAGGATTATTAGAAATGAAATGGCCCCATCCTTTAATTCTTCAGCTGAGAAAACTAGGATCCAAAGAAATTTTAATTGGTTCAAAATCATGTGGCTGGATTGGTGCAAAGTTAAGGTCAGGCCATAGCCTGTGAGTTTCCAGGACTATTCTTATCTTACTGTGGTGAGTGGCCTCACATATCCTGTCTAAGAGAACTGTTCAAAGAATAAACTCTTTGCTGACTTTGGAGGAAGAGTATAACAACTTATGACATGAGTATAGTTGGACAACTCACATGGGTCACGTTCCCTATGGCACACTCAACAATGGCTTTACCCCTCGTGAAAGCTGTTGGAATGTCTAGGGCGTTACAATACCGACCTATAACATGGTTACAACCCTATGGTAATGTCCCCAAACCACTACCTTCTGACATTAGGCTCATTAATTCCAGGTCTCTTAGGACGTGTTCTGCCAAAATGTTTAGAATAACTTCTAAGATACACTACTAGAGCCCGAAGGGGACTATAGACTTCCTCTCTCTTCCTTTTCCTATTAGAACTCTTCTTTGTTAACCCAGCTCACAATCATTATGTCTATATCAAATATATTAGGCTAAGAAATCACATGAGAGCCTGTTGGACATGTTCAGTACAATGTGCAGGACTTATTGAACTGTGTCCTAAATTTGTCTTTGGTTGTCTGGGATCCCTCAGATGAGTGATTCCCAAAAGCTCCTTTAGCCTCTAAGTCACTGTTTATTACCTGTCCCCTACAGGGGTATTCAAGGTTGTGAGAGTGGAGTTGAACCACAGTTTCAAAAATGCTACAAACTGTTATCTAAAAAAAAAAAAAAAAAAAAAAAAAAAAAGCTTACTTTATTCCAAATAAGGTAGGCATCTCTCAGAGTTACAAATCTGAAAGAAGAGAACATACTTTTTTACTTTTCTCTTTTTGTTTTCATCCTATTTTGGTAGTCAAGCGGTGAGACTGGAGATTCATTTAAAAATTCTGAGGTGTTTGTGCATAAGGAGAAATGACAGTGAGAGTATCAAAGCGTCCCCCAAGATTTGGAAACAGAAAAAGAGCAGTTGTAGAATTCAAATGCAGACCATGTATATTACTGACTTTTCTCCAAGAGTTCAAGGGATGCCATTTTATAACAGAGGAAGAGAACACGAAACAGAAAGTGGGTTTATCATACATCCTCACAGACGAGAAGTATTCCAAAGACCCTTCTGTTTGTCAAACTCTCCTTCCAGATCCTCCACCAAGCACTCAAAGAACGCACTCTTCACCATACATTCCCATAAACCCACACAAATCACCCACGTGGGACCTCTGGGAATCTTTAGCACAAAATTCTATCTCACATATAGAATTTATCTCAGATAAACATTTTGGCCTTTCGTGCAACCTGACAAGTGAACATTTTTCTTCCAGTTTCTAAAAATTGTGTGCAGATTTGGCCCCTTTTCAGCCTCCGCAGAGATTATGACTGTTCAGAGACACAGAGTATGGCCAATGTCTAAAAAATGTCTTCCCTAGCCCCCGGAATGTCTTTACTCACTCCCGTAACCAGAGCTGCCGACCGCCATCCTTACTTGTGCTTGTTGAATGTGGGGCCTCCTCTTCATCCTGAGGCTCATGGTGAATGAGAGGAGGCTGTGGTTCCTGGGTCCGGTTTTCTCCGTGAGCACTGGGGCCATTTCTGTCTACATCTGTTATGGTGAGGTTACACATGCTGTGATTTTTTTTTTAATCAATCAACTTTTATTGGTTTTCTTCTTCCATTGATGTACATGCTATCTAAAGGTGTTATGTCTGAACACTACTTCTGAGCATCCACTCTCATAAATTTGAATGATTTCACTAATATGTCCCAAGAAAAAAATGAATGGGCATGAAATTTCTTCACGATTACTTGGTATTCCACCATAAGCACTTTGTCAGAGATGGTGCCATAAACCATTCAAATGTATTCATTTTATAATAAGGCCACAAAAAATACCTTGTGCCCAGATGGTATGACTGATAGCTGACTCCTAAATGGAATTGAGCATCCTTATGAAAGTTCACTGAGAATTTGTGATGCAACAGTAACTAAATTTTCCACTGTATCCTAAGGGTTGACAATTGCAGCATCATAGACTTTGAAGGAAAAATATCTTTCGTTAATTACATATAACCCATTACCAGTTATTCTTGTGGTTGTCTCAAGTGGTGCTTCTGGGTTTGAATGGCTTGGCCTCCATTGGTTCCAGTCCTGGTTCTGTTCTGTGTGGTCAGAAACCCGTGGAGTGGTTGAAACTGTGATAACGATGATTGAAGCGATTAGGGAAATGTTATTTCTTGAGCCTTCACAAATCGTACTGCACATTTACTCCTTCTGTAGTCTATGCAATGAGGCATCTATACCAGGTTGTATAGATGGTTGCATGGGAACGGAGAGAGAAAGCGGAGAGAGCCTTCAGCTTGATCCACCATATTGTGAAGCATCTCAATGTCCTTTGCATTCTGTCACAGAATACGTTGGGGTTCAGAACATGAGATCTTCTTGGAGAAAGCAGCCAAAGAAACTGTGGTAGCAGGAAGAACAGCTTTGAATACACCAGCCCTCCACCGAGGATCACCAGAGATGACAGAGCTTTGCCCATCCATGCAGATTGGTAGGTGGCCCTCTGCACTTGAAAGGCCAAAGAATTGGTATCGCTGGCATTTTTGCTACCTCAGACGGAAGAGGCAGGTGACTGAAAATTATACCACAATGATCACTATTTTGTTAGTAATCTTGCTGGAGAAACAAATACTCTGAGCAGCCAGAGCTTTTCTGTAGATGGTTCTGAGAAAGAACATCTACCTGGAATAGCAATATGGTTTAGCTTCATAACTCTGAATGTTTCTCAGACACCCATGGTAATTCGAATCAAATACAAACTATAATATGAGCAAGCCATTCATAGCCAATGAAAGAAAAACAAGATGCATTACAGTCAATAGAAAAAGTCCAGAAGCAACCCATCACCATCAGAAAAGTGCGTTGAAAAAAAAAGAGGTATATATCCATATAACAGTTCCCTGATATTGTCATACACAAATATTTGGGTTAGAATAGCATAAACATCTAACAGAAGGATCACGACAAAATTAGAATGTCTTTTATGAAAAGGCTATTTGCAAATCCATCTTCTTTCAAAGCTTATTTTGATACCCAAATAACACAAAACTATTTCACAAGAGAATAATGTCTAGAATCATGAAACACATTCTCAATAGGCATGAAAAATGGTAGCTATCCTTCCCCTCCAAAAGGAAAAGGGTATCCTGTTGAATCACAGGCATAGACACTCAGCAAAAAAGTGAATGGAAATTGAAAAATATGCTCTAGAGATGAAGAAATAGTGAAGGAAGTTTCCCCTGGAGCCTGATCATACAGTTTATTTGCAGGTTGATCTTTTGGGGTCACCATCCAAGGGATTTTGGTTTCCCAAGTATCAAAACCATCTCTTTTACAGATGGACCTACCCAAGACTGGGCCACATCCTGAACCCAGGAGACAGTGTACTCATAAACTCCAGTGATTTGGGTTATTTGGTTTTCTTTCTGAAGGTATTAAAAAGAGCATAGAAGGGCTGGGGTTGTAGCTCAGTGGTAGAGCGCTTGCTTAGCATGTGTGAGGCCCTGGGTTCGATCCTCAGCACCACATAAAGATAAATAAATTAAATAAAGGTATTGTATCCATCTACAACTACAAAAAACATTTAAAAAAATTTTTTTTAAAAAATAGTATAGACTAAGCTCTGCAGAGATGTCCAGTCTAAGGAATATATATTTTAAAGCTGTAAAATAAAGAATGGAGTTCATTTTGAGTATTTGTTGTACCACTGCCATATGCTCAGGTGCTTTCAAAATCTGGGCTATTCTTTTAGATCCCCTCCTCCCTGGGTGCTATTCATTTGGGGATGAAACTCTCAAGTTTCAACAGGACAGACAGAAATTCAGTGACCTGGGAGAGCTCAGGTAACACCCCAAGAGCCTTATCTCTAAGGAAAAGCAAAGCTGTGATGGAGTTACTTTCAAGATTCTCATTCTGTCCAGCAAAACCATAGGTCATTACAGATTCATGTGAGAAACTCAGTCATCTGGCAGAATATTTGACCAAACTTGGTATATTTTAATTTTAAAAGAATATTTTTTTCAACTCAATTTTCATGTCTTAGTTCTCAAAAAGTTTTATAATGGTCACAAATTTGTATACTATTTAAGCAGTTTCACTATTTGCTTTTAATAACTAGCACTGCCTTGTTTAAGTGAGCTAATATTTGCCCTTCTTTTCAATGTCTTTTAATTACATGTTTGCTAAAATTCTGGGTTTGTTCCTTTGACTTCAACCAGGTTTTGATTAAGACAACTCTTGAGTTCTCACTCCCCTGTTTTAAGCCTTTCTAGGCCCTTCTAAAAGCCTTCAATTCAGGGACATTGGCAATTTTGAATTAATACTCTCTTAATCACTCTTCAAAAGCAAGGGCTTTTTTCATCCGTGTGCTCCCAGCACCCAGCAGAGCAGGTATACAGTGAGCATTTGTTGTGAAGTTTTCACATGTCATTCTCTGACAAACCTTGATAACTCAAAGAGAATCTATAGTAGTCAATCTCACCGATAAAAAAAAAATAGGAAGAACCTAAGGCATTTGGTTCACTTCTCCAAATATGTTTAGGTTGTCATTAAAAAAGAAAGAAATCGTTATCTTATTTCTTCCTCCACAATCATATGGGGATATAACTAAGGGATCATCATAAGTCCACCCATTTTTCACATTGACTCTTTTCCAAGAGAAATACTATCAGGTGTCACTCAGGTTAATTAGTAAAACATGCAAAAGTGGTTCTACTGGAATTGATCATTCTTACTGGTGCTGGAGACAAAGTCTTCATCATCATCAATGCCTGATCCAGAAAAACTGACGTGTTTGTCTCTTTCATCTTCGTTCTCTTCATTTGGCTCCCAGCCTGTTGAGATGGCATTTGAATCCATACCTGTTATGGTGACTTGCGTTAGTGGTAGAGCTGGATGCCAAGTAACCCATTCCATAGAGGAAGAAAGTCAGGCACAGCAGGTGGAATGGATTTCCCAAGATTTCAAGAGGAAAGGGAGAGGGTTCTTGCGGACTTGCATCTGAATCTAATCTATAGATCTCAAAGCAATGGCTATGAAACTTCACTTTAAGGAAGAATAAATATGGACACCGCTCCACCAAAGAAGTAAAAACAGAACACAGCAAACTAAAAACATCGAAAAGATAGTTAAAACTCCCCTGTGCTTTCAGATGCAGTTCTTAATAACTCATTATTCACATTCTTTAAAAGCTGGAGTTCCAAGAAAAGAGTGGAAAGGTTTCACATATGCCTATTTGCTTTATCAAGACACCTTCAGAAAAACTTTGAAATCATGTCAATCATTTCTAAAATGGTACAGTGGCATTCATAATTTTCTAATTTATTTTTAAAAAATCTTTAGCATCAGATTATGGTATCTCTCGAAATGCAAATGGAAGTAATGCTGTAATTCCCAACAGTACTTTGGCAGACAGAGAGGGTAAAAAAAAGTCAATTAACAGACAAATAATGTCTGGCATTTTATTAGCCAACCAGAAGAGACGATGAAAGTGGACTCCAGTCTAAATTCTTAGAACTTTTCCTTCTTTTCTTTTGGAATCAATCATAGAAAAGGAGATGGAAACTTTCAGCTTCTCGGTGGTTACTGCAGAAGACCTCTTTTTTACTAAAAAGAAGTTTTCTGCATTCTGAATGAGGCTCAGGCTGTCTTATGAAATGAGCATTTGCTTTGCATACCATTAGTGTCTATCCCAATAATGCAACTGATGGAGGTTTTCTATATTTTCCTATCTCAGCTAGGTTATTTCATTTTCTCATAAAAATGTTACAAGCTTTTTATGACTTCAGTAATTTTGGAGTAGGCATAAGCATTCTTTCAAAGTTATAATTTTGTTCTATCCTCAAGGCAAACCTGCCCCTGTTCATAGCTTCTCTACTATCCTCCTCCTAGGAGTTAGAAACCCCACAGAGAAGAAAGAAGAAAACTGCATATTAGTTCCATGTAATCAAAGATAATGATCTCAGAACTCATAGTCCTTCCAAAATCATCACAAATATTTGTGTGACCAGAATGGACTTTAGACTTGAACATTATATCCCATATGGCAATGAAAATCATTAAAGATGGTCAAGAAAATGTATAAGATAACCATAACTCATTACCAGACGTTGTTGTCATAAGAAGATGATTCCTGGACTCTGATGGTTGAAACAACCATGAAAGCCAGTCCTGGGCCTCTTGCTTCTTGGTTGCTGTTTCAGGAGCAGTAGCACTAGTGCTCATCAAAGCTGTGGTAACCATGACTGAACGGATTGTTGAAAAGTGAATTGTGAGTTCCTAAGAAATAGCATTGTGTATGCTTTCACTATTTTTTTTCCCTACTCAAGAGAATCATCTATTCTCAATAGATGGAAAGGTGGGAAAAAAAGGGAAAAGGCCAAGAAATTCCATTTCTTTCCGAGGCCCAGACTAGAATTCATAGAATGTCAGAAATGGAAGGACCTTGAATGTAATCTGGCTCAAGCTCTTCATCTTAAAGATGAAAAATAAAAGTGCTGGAAAAATTTGCTGACTTGTGTGAAGTCAGAAAGCTAATTAGCAACAGCATGAGAGCTCTGAATTCTAAAAGTTTACAATGTGAAATGGGGAGGGAAATTTTGTCTCCTCCGCCATGATGCCAAACTAGGACAAGTGGTAAGAATTTCAGGGAGATGGGTGTTCTTCCAACACCCACGCTACAGCTTCCTTTAGATTAATGGAATAATCTGAACAATCCAACATCAAACTTCTTCAAGAGAAGCTTTGTTCCCCATGATAAGGAAGATCACTTGGCAGGAAAGTTGTGTAAGTAATTAAATGATTAGAAATGCTGATTGAACCAGACTATTTAAGATCCTCTCCAAATCTGAGCATTTATGATTCTACACCCCAGGTCTTTAGAGTCCTAACCCCTTAATCTTCCACACACTCTATCTTGGCTAACCAATATCATTTATTTAGGGTATCAAGAATATCATACCCTAAATTCAATATCAAGAATTTAGGGTATGATATTTCTGCCAGATATAATCCCAGGAATCCAAAACACAGGAAAAGAGAACATGTAAAGTAGGAGACTGAAGAAGATGTCTTTCCACTTTCTCCATGGAGACTCCAAATCCCCTGGGATTTTATATCAACACTATTATTTTACAAAGCAGAACAGTCCATTTTTAGTCCAATTTGAGTTGAAAATAGTATAGCAACACAGGAAAAGAAACAAAGTGACCCACTGATAAAACCAGAAGCAAGAATCTTGACTTGAAAATTTCCAAAGACTGACATTTCTGCCACCATGACGTGCAACGGAAGAATATCGGATAAGAGGCGACAAAAAAATTGAGAACAAGTTCAAGCAGAGAGGCTGAGACCATCATTAAAATCCCAAATACAAAAGACGAGTGAGATTTCTTTTTTCAGATTTCAAGAAAGCCCAGAATGATCCCAAAACACAGCCAAAGAAGACCTTTTCCTTCACACTATTTTTTTTTTTATTCAAAGGTCAACACTGTAAACATTTAAAAAAGGCCTTTCAGTGTGCTGCAATCTCTCCCACCTGACCCCAACATGTCCCAATCAGTGTGACATAGAACCATAACATAACATAGCACTGTTGTCATATGTGATTATTTATTGAAGTAAAGGATATAGTTTATTCTGTCTCAAAACCAAATGTGAAGTATCATCTTTCTATTTTTATTTCTTCCCTTTTGCGGAGAGGATGCCTGCTTATTTTGAAATATGATCATATTCTCCATCAGCAAAAGCTAATAAATGGAGATATGCTTCTAAACCCCCGCCATTGTTATAGACAAAACCTTTCTCCCTGAAGCTCCCACTTTAAAATACTTTGCAGGAATTTAGAAATCATAGGCAAACCTCCAGGAACCTGTAGGCAACCTAGACTCTGATGTAGAACCACATTATTTTCTACCTTACAGTAAAGGTTTGAAGTATCCAAACAAGTGTCCAGGGCCTGCCCTTTCCAAGTGTAAATCATGGTTCCCTCTTTTACTACTAACTGTGATAACTGGGTCAGCAGGAAATAAAGGTGTGCATTTCCAATAGACTTTTTTCCTAGAAGATATTTTTCTCAATGAATTGCATAATCAAAGCCTCTGAAGAAAAAATGATTTTGATTCTACATACATGATGCCATAAAAAGAACAAATTAGGTATTTAGGGGATCTTGTCATATCCCCAGAGCTATTGGCTTCTTTGACAAGGAAAACAGCCGCAGATCCTGCTCTCACTAGTGATGCTGAGGGGCCCTCAGTGGGATACTTGGGCATGATAATGGATATTCTTTTTCTTATCATTAAAAGACCTGGCATTCAAGACTATCGATGAGCAAAAGACATAGCGATTTACCTGTGGCTGCTGTTGTTGTGAGATCCTGAGTCTTAGGCTGTGAATTACCAAACCAGGACCATATCCAATTACTTCTCTTCTGAGCTGATGCACGGCTGTTTGAGTGCACAGTGGAGGTAACTGGATCGATTATGAAAACATTGTTGAGTGAGATTCTCTCTGTCAGAGTTTACTCTCCATTCTATATCAAACATTTGTATCTCTTATAGAATGAAGATTAAAGAGGAGATATTGAGGTATGTTTTTTTTTAATCTTTCCAGCCTTTCTTTCTCCCAACATCTTAGAACAACATCAGAAATTCAAATTTGTATGGGTATCAATCTCCCAATTGAACCTCCTAAAATAATGATCAGAGCAAAAATCAAGCCACAGCTTAATGCTGCAATGGAAGGAGATTTGTTTTTTTCTTGACTGGGCGACTGGACCATGCAATATGCTAGAAGGTCTTCAATGCAGCATGACATAAAGTTGCTTTCATTCATTCACCTTTGGAGTATCTTTGGAGATGCTTGCATGTATCATTTGGATCTATCTAGCAACACACCCAGCTTGTGACAACTGGGACTTCAAAGCTCTACCCATACACATCAAACTCAGACCACACTTTATACTTGAGCAAGAATATCACGAAGGGTGTGTGCTCCAAGTATTGAAATCAGATCAAACTTTCTCAAGTATCCACTCATCACTTTCTGTCACTTTGGATTCAATTCAGTCTGTGTTTCCAGACAAGAGGCAAAAATGTCAAAGTAAAATCTTTAACAGTAGCATTTTGTAATTTAAAAATCTCTCACTGGACTCTCAACTTGGACTTGAGTCCAAAATGTTTCTCCATAAAAACAGAAAGGTAGAAATCATCAAGACAAATATATAAACCAGCTGAGATTATTAAGACATATTTCAAATCATACATTCCTGTGAAAATGTGATACAACTTATGGACTCTTCCTTAAAAAAAAGTGACCCTATACATAAACACTCAACATTTTGTGCGTTGTTTCAAGTGGTGCCTGAATACCTTCTCATTATAAACTTTGGCGTTATACATGCCAAATTCCTATAACAGGCACAACATGGTCCATGCTGTAAAGGACACATTAGTTTGGAACAGAAAGCAGAGAGATAGGAGCCAATTTCCCTTATTATGTCCCCAGTAAACCTGAGCATCCCTTAGAAAGCCCATAGACACCCTGTTCTCACCTCAGTTAACTTTATGAAAATAGCTTAGTTCCCGCCACTTTCACCCTACAGTACACCAGGAAAAAAATAGCAACAAAGGAAATGAATATACAAGAGCAAGATAGAAGCAGGCATTATTTTCATCTTCCTGAAAGGAGCCGTATGAGAGGGAATGATGAAAACAGCTTCAGCCTTGCCAGCACTTTCCAATTTGCCCCACCCAAGTAGGCCATGCCAAACCAAAAGAAAAAAAAAATTACTTGTTTGACACCCAGAAGACAAGGAAATTGAGACTTCCAAAGCAGGAGTTGGCTTCCTGAATTAGTTTTGGTTTCTTGATTCCAGAGAGTTCCAATCACCAATAGGAAGGCACCGATTGACACACCTCCAGGAGGGCTCTTCCAAAAATAACACTTATGATAAACAGCCCACGGGAAGTCCAGAGCCGTGTAAATGGTTGGTCTTGTTAGCTTTCCCTTTGCCACCCACTAAGGACCCTTAAGAAGGAATGAAGCAGTCAAGCCAAAGACAGGCAGCTTCCTCGTCCCCAGACAGCCCTCCTCTTGACCTCGGCCTCCCTGCCTGCATTAGGGAGGATCTGCAGACACTGCCTCTGGCCACGGCCCAGTTCAGTCCAACCTGATAAGGCCAGGGAATCTCCTTCCTGGACTCAGAAAATCTGATTCTACTTAGGAGCTCAGCATTGTTAACTCTTCCCAGTATGCCGCAGGCTACATTCAAGTTTCCACCCGGCTTTTGTTTGTTCTATTTTCTGGTCTTTGTTTTGATATCCTTCTTTGCATGGATTAATCTCTTGGAGCTGCCGTTGGCCTTAGTGAATCCTAGAACACTTCGATAATTCTCCGCTTAGCTCTGGACTCACCCACATGGACAAATTAGTTTCTCTCTTCCATCCTTAACTATTAAAAGAAACAGCTAAGTACTCTGTAAGGAGGAAAACATAATTATTCTCTTAAGTATGTTTTTCTTTTCCTTAATATCTGAACTAGCATGTTGCATCCATCAAGGAAGGACTAACATTGAGCCCCAGTAACCAAAGCAGTGTCTGGCGCAGACTCCAAATCTTGGTTGAATAAATGAAAATCTCACTCAAAACTTATTCTTTTCAATATTACTTTCTAGGGTTTTTACCATTGGATCCCAAGCATTAGAATAGACATTGCACATAGTAGGTCCTCAAAACACATTTGCTGACTGACTAACTTAGAAAAGATGCTAATAAAAATGTGATAATTGTCTTTTTTAAAGCGCAAGGGGGTAGGAGGCTCATCCAATCCCCACAAGATGAATTTTGTCAGGATTTTCTTCTTTGGTGGGAAATAGGACTTTAGAACTGTTCTACTTCCTGCTGACACTCCTAATTATTGTATTTGCCAGTGTCTAACAGAACTGTGCACCTTAACAACAAAGTGATGTTAAAAAGGCCAGCAACCAGCCTGGTGCCGGGCGAGTGCCTGTGATCCCAGCTACTCCAGAAGTTGGAGCAGGAGGATTGCAAGTTCAAGGCCAGCCTCAGCAACTTAGCAAGATCCTGTCTCAAAAGAAAAAAAAAATTAAAAGAGCTAGGGGTGTAGCTTGGTGGTGTAGTGTCCCTGGGTTCAATCCCCAGTGCTAAAAAAGTATTAAAATAAAGGCAAGGCACCCAGGAAGCAGCAGACAGCCCGTGGCACTATGGTTTCCAGATGTCTGTCTTGAGAAGTGTTGCCCATGGGACCACAAACAAAACAAGGGTGCGATCTTGCATGAGAAGTTTGAATAGATGCACTTTTTGAGATGCTTCAAAGAATCTGCTGGAAATAACCAGAACCCCAGACCTACTTGCATCACTCTCTCAGCAAGTTTCTAACAGAAATTTAAAATGCCATTGAGCAAATAACCTTAAATTAAATCAGAGCCATGTGGAAACTTCCCGGCCTCAGGGTGATATGGGATAGAAAGGACCTCATCTTGAGTATTGACAAACAAGTATATTTCTGCCACACTGTCTGGAGGCCAGAGTGTCACCCCTCAAGAGTTGAAGCCAGGAAAAGAGAAATCGGCACCATATTAGGAAATCCACCCAAGACCCAGTTGCACTATTTAAGTATGAATAATCCCCACAGGAGCAGAGCCCATCTGGAAACCTGTTGAAAACAAACCACAAGGGGACAGAGGAAAGTGACAAAGGAGAGAGAGGATGTGCAATAGAACTGCAGCCAGTGGCATGAGACCAGAGCCACCAAATGCAGCATTTGCATCTGTCCTCTCTTACAGTCTTAAGTAATGAACGACCCACACACCAGCTAAGCATTAAGGACCTTCCCCGCAGGCTGGCATCTAAACTCTGAAGCTGATATAATTTGATCATAAAACTCCTCCTTAGACCCAAAGCAAAGGAATTGTTTAGTAAATCACAATTGATGATTATGAATTAATATTATTACACCATGAATGACTGTAAGTCCGGTTACAAATATAAAAATATACACTCAGGTAGAAAAAGGAGCCTATGGAATGGTATTCGTACTTGGCACTCCCACCTTTATGGAAACAATCGTATCTACAGTGAATAAGAAGAAAGAAAGAAGCAAAACCAAAAGTTGTTTCTGTATCAGGTTTGAACCCTAACTATATCCCCAGGGATCAGAGCATCAGGGAGGGTGGGTGGGGGTCTTCCGAAAACACTTCCCATGGCACTTCTTACTCCAAGGTAAGAGAAACCTAGTTGCAGACAGACAGACAATTGCAGGCTGTGGTTGTCGAGGCATATAGAGCACGGACCAGCACGGCCACCCACAGTCCTAATGACGTCACCACCGCCCCAATGACGTCACCACCGCCTCCATGTCTGGGACAAAAGAAAATCAAAACTCAAGGGAATGTGGCTCGGGAGATCCCAGGCGTGTGGCCAAGGAATTGCTACTGGGAAGCAGAAGGGCTCCTTCTCCTTACTGGTGGTGGGGTTGTTCTCGGAGGCCCCGGCGTCCTCTTGGTCTGTGGATGGTTGGGAAGTGGGCAGGTGGGTGTGGAAGATGGTGTAACCCCCTGAAGTGCTCCTTTCACTGGAGGAGCCGCTGCTCATGTCCTCGTCGATAGGTTGGCTGGGGTTGATGTCTTCCTCGTGCGTCCTGTATTCGGCACCTTTCTTGCTGTAGCGGGTCCCGTCGCGGTTGACAATGGCTTGGGAGAGAGAAGGGCACTTTGAGAACTTCACAGCTGACACTTTTTGAGTCTTGAAGAAAGACCGAATTGTCATATAGCACAGTGGCTTTGCAACTCTTCTTTAGTAGGAAGGATACCTTTCTATCTAGTGAGGAGACATGGGGGGTTGCACCCAGAAAGTACATTCTTCTCTGCTCTCCCTGCACTCCATCCCAGGCAGCCTGGAAATGAGCAGGAGAAAGAAGAGGTTCTGGGGAACCCTCATATTTGAATCCCAGCTTCACGTAGCTCTGGATGAGGCACAATTGTGAGCCTAAGGTCCTCATTTCTAAAGCAAGCGCAATGTCACCTTCTGGATAGAATCATCACGAGCCTTATGACACTGTGAGTAAAGCATTCAGCACAGAATTCAAAATAAATGAATGCTCTATAAATGATAATTCCCTCCCTGGTTCCTGACTCTGCCTTCTGAAGGACGTGTAAAGTGTGTTGTTATTAACTCCATCCATTTCCAGAAAAGATTTGAAATAGCAGACCAGTAACCTCCACAAGGAAGGCATGGTTGCAAACCCATGAAGGAACAGATTTTCTTTCTAAGGGGCAAATTTTGTCAGTTGAAGCAAACCTCCACTCTAAGCTAGGAAATCAGTGTGTCTAAATATTGACAGAGGCTCTGCCATCCTCTGTGAAATTTGACCTTGATGTTAACAAACACGGATGTACATAAAGATCTAAATCTTTGGTTTAAACAAGTAAATGGCTAGAATGGACTGGAGAGGGGAAAAGTTCAGATGAATTTATTCATTGTTCCTGCTTAAAATATTTGCTGCCTTCAAGTCTGGGCCACTCACTACATGCATGTGCATTTAGCAGAAATTAATTTTCTGCTGAATTGCATCGGTGCAGCTGAAGTTTCCTTTTGTCCACTATCTAGCTTGCTCAAGTGGAACCATGAAAAAAAAAAACAACCACACAAATGAAAAAAAAAATCCCCAAATCTCAGTCTCCCAATCTCTGTAGATGATCTGAGAAAATACAAAGACCATCTAAGGCCATTTTCTGTTACTGTAACAAGATACTTCAGAACAGGTAATTTATAAAGAATAGAAGATTATTTGGCTCACAGTTCTAGAGGCTAGGAAGTCCGTGTTCATGAATATGAACATGGTTCACAGCATCTTGTGAGGGGCTTCTTCTTGTATCCTAATATGGCAGAGGGTATTACCCAGTAATGATTCAGAGCAAGTGTGCTAGCTCAGGTCTCTCTTCCTGTTCTTATAAAACTACTGAGGCATTACCTTCATGGGGGCCCCCTTCTCTTGACCCCCTCCATCTAATCCTAATTATTTCTCAAAGACCCCATCTCCAAAAACCATTAACATACAAATGTGGGGGTTGTTTCTCACATGTGAACTTTTGAGGGGACATATTCAAGTATACCACTGATCAAACGTGTACAAATCTGGGCTTTGAAAGGGACCTATGGGAAACAAGGTATTTATTGTGCATTTACCATGGACCAGGCACACAATAAATGTATTTCTTAAGTTTTATGACAATCCTTGCATGTCATTCAGTTATACATAAGAGAAAATTGAGGCTCAGAAAAAGTAAGGCATTCTCTATTGTCAGCCAGGTGGTTAAGGAAGTAAGATGCCAAACTGGCCCAACGGATCTAACACATCTCACATTGTACTATTGCTGTGTGAGGCCACCCTTCCTGCAGCAAGGCACAGGCCAAGGACAGATTCTTTACATAACAGGGGAGGCTGAATTTGTATGGAAGATACCCATCACCCATCACTAACTACTACCACCAAGCCCAAGCACCGTGGCTCTGAGCAAGCAGAAAGCAGATTTTCTCAACACTGGGCTACTTACCAAAGAAATGAATCCCAGGTACAGTATGATCAGGGTTAATATAGGTTGATATATTAAAAAGTTCTGGTTAAGATTTTTTTTTGCTTTTAAAAGTCCCATATACATACTTCTGCAGATAATCAAGATGATTGGGAGTGGGCATGATATAAATGATGCCACAACACATATCAGGAAGTTTTAACCCTTTATAATTATCTTTCAAAACTTGAGTGATAGCAAACATAAAATTTACATTTGGAGCCCGAATGCCCCTGTCTCTGACACTTCTTAATCCTTCTTTATAAGAGAAGGATTCAGGTGTCAGCAGCTGGAACTTTAAAATATTATTTAATGTTACTTATGTTTAAAACAAAACATTCCATTTTAAGGTTATCTTCTATTTATGACAAGTGGTGTGGGTTTTCCATTTGCTATCTAGCTTTTATTCTTTTTAAATAAATGAATTTATTTTTAAATGAATAAATGTAAATATATTTTAAGTAGAAGAGAATAGGTCAAATAAATTTAAAAAATATATATCAGGTAAAGTGAGAGTGCTGTGTAGTACTTAGAGATATGCATCCAGAATGTGAAAGTGGTTTCCAAATGACTGAAGATTGAGGAACACTGCTTCAGGATAAATCAAAAGGGGAAGGAACCCTGAATCAGAGCCAACCTTCCCCAGCCCTAGGGAAATGACTAATATTCTATTCAAATATAAACCATAGAGAACACACCGGATGCCTTTCCCAAGAAAGAGAAAACTCAAGATGAGAAGAGAGAGACTTACTTATGGTAACTTTGCCATCAAACGAATTGGGCAGGTCTGTGACTGATGTACAATCTTCTTCGTCGAGTGGAGCTGGGAGGTGGGGGGAAAAAAAGCATAAGAACTCTAAAAAGTCACTAGCAAAATTGACTCCATTTCTATAAGTTAGTAAGGATGGGATTTTATCAAATTTATCCCGAGTGATTTTCTTTTCATGAAACTTGGTATTTTGCTAGAAAGTTCTCTGCCCTTTGTGGTGCACTTTCCATTTTTGTTTAATTTCATAAGGTCCTGGAAACTTATTACTTCTCTCCAACAATTTTATTTATTAAAAAAAAAATCTGTGTTTTCTGTATCAGCCACTATGGAAGGCTGAGGGTTTAATTATGAACAACACAGACATGGGTCCTTCTCCAGTGATATATATACTAAAGAAGATTTTTAATTTTTTTCTACTGTAAAAGTAATGTAGGATCCTGTTAAAAAAAAATTTTAAAAACAAAGAAACATATAAAATATCGTGAGAAAATTATTTGTAATCCCAGGCACCAATAGAAATGATGGAAAAACATGGCAGACACACGGTTAGCATGAACACCACGTTGATCTGCAGATTAAAATAGTCAGTAAGGAAAATGCCTGATCAAAATATTTTAAAACCAAATTAATTTATAGTCTTGGTATTAATTGTTATTAATATACTAATTACTTTATTAATTAAGTACTTTATTACTTCATTAATTTAACTGGTCTTCCTAAGTACCTAATCGGTATAGACTGCGTCTCAGCTGAGGTCGGCCATCTTGGACATAGGCACCCAGAACAGCTCTTATGAATATTGTCTTGGCATATCTCATCATGGGCACCCCTGGATTCTTTTTCTTTTGTTCTCCATTTATCTTCTTCTTTCCTAACCCTTCTTCAAGATTTTTGGGCTGTCTGATCATCCACAGATGTTGCTGGGAAACCCCCTGAACAGCACTGTTTGAAACCTTTGGAAAACAGGCATTGGAGTTCTACCTGTATGCCTTCCCTGGAGTCCTATAAGCAGGCTGCAGAGAGCCTAACCCACCATCCCACTCAGGCATGCCATACCTTGTATTGGGCCCTAAAAATTCAGAGAGCTTTGAACTGGTTTTGCTGTTAAAGGAAGCTTGGATTTACTTGTGCGTTACAGTTTTCGTAATATGTGTGTGTGTATGTGTGTGTATGTATGTGTGTGTGTGTGTTTGAGCACCACGCATTTGCTTAAATGTAATATGGCAGTATATCTGTATGGTTGGTTTCTTCTGGAGTTGCTTCTTGACAAACAAGAAGTGAAAGGGAGAGAGGAAGGGATGCATGCATGCATTTGTGCATGGAGGAATGGAGGTAGAGAGACTGCTGTCACAAGGAGAGCTGCTATCACAAGCATTTTAAGTATCTTGCCATAAGTTGTTGGATACTCAGCATTAGGCAAAACAAGAGTCAGACAAAACAGGAATTGGTTGCTTCCCAGTATCTCTGACTTCTTTTTCCCACAAGTAAAGGGAATATCTTTTACCTGACCATATCTTTGGTCTCATCGTGAAAATAACTAGCAGATTCTTCAAAGGGAAAGGTCACCTCCTTGGTAGGGTCATTCCTTACCAACTAATCTATGCCAGCTTTTCGTCACTTCCACACACCCCAACGTGTATCATCTTGCTTTAATTTATTCTTCTTGTTCACCATTGTCTAAAATTATCTCTCTCATTGTACCTGATGGCAGTCCATGGTAGATCTTACCATGACCCCTATCTCCTGCTACCACTACCCATAGGAATTTATAAGCTCCAAAAGATGACTAGTAAGGGGGGGGGGCATCGCTGCAGATAGAACCCAGGGTCTCATACATGTTAGATAAGTACTTTACCAATTGGCCACACTCCCATCCTGAGGAATAATCATATCTGTCTTGGCCACAATAGTTATGTGTGATGGGAACAGAAAAGCACTTAATAATTTTTTGATCAATTAATAAAAAAGGCAAAAAACACCAATATAATTTTCCAAAGATCCATTCTCCCAGGAAGCATACCAAAGATGGTAACTCTCCCAAATGGTTTGCAAATATGAGCAGGTCAAGAAGCATGTAGATATACTTTGAATGGTATGCCATAAGAAATGTTAAAGGAAATTACAGGTACAGGTGTTCATTAATTATTTGTCAGTATTTGCTTGACACTTCTATGCCAAGTCATTTTAAAAAATATGGAGATAAAAGAACAAACGAACACATTTCTGTCCCTTTTCCTGATCAACTCACAAGATTATAGGAGAAGATAGTGCTATTTCTTTAGCTCTTTACAATATTAAAAAAATCCTCCAAAATTTTCTTATTTCAAAATATGATCATGTAGCCAACTTGGGCGATTTGTGGGGCTTCCATTCTGTTTATCTTGGAGATGCTGCCAGAGAATGGTCCCATCTTTGGGATGATTTTGGTATTTGTATGCTGCAGATGCCCAGAAATGGGTTTTGGATTATGGATGTTTTATGCCAGGGATGCAGCATCCTCCCTTCAATTCAGACACAATGGCAGATGAGAAGAGCACACTGAGAATCTCCAAGAGATACATTGAAATGGGATGGGGCATGTCAAGAACACTAACCATTCTGTGAATGGTGACAGCGTGTGCTCACATAGACCCCCTTCATGCTCCACTTCACCTGAACTTTGATAAAGAACATCAACTCTAGCAAGTATACTTCGATGGATGGTGACCTAAATTTCCAACTAATATATTCATGCTCCCATGTCAGATCATGGGACCTCATTAAACAGCTTTTCATTCTGCTTAATGAGCTCTGCTCAGCTGGGAGAGTTAGCCGCTGAGGTGTCCCTGAGCCCAGGGATTTGTCAGACACTAAGGTGGGCTTCCTGGTGGGCTGTGTTTTCAGAAACTTAGGCTCCATTGCATGAAAAGGGCCAAGAGAAACATGACAGAAATACAGCCTCTGATTCCTATCCCCACTCTCTCAAGCAGTACTGAGTACAGACAGCTGATCAATAAATATTCTCTTTAAACTTAAAACTTAGAAGCCTATCAACACTGAGTCGGTTGGGCTGTGGATGTAGCTCAGTGGTTGAGTGTTTGCTTGGCATGAGCCAAGCCCTGGGTTCAATCCCCAATACTGCAAAAAGCAAAACCACATTGAGTTAATTAGGAAAATAGAGAAAAAGAAAACCATTACTTCTAATTTTGCTCCTTTAATAGAGCCATTTGGGTATGAAATGCATCTCTAGTATAAAGTTTTTCAAGTAAATGAACATCCCCCTCTCTAAGGAGAGAAAAATTAATCAATGCTATTGACCCTGGCTTTGGGAATGAAACCAATATCATGGGCAAAATTAAAGGCAAGGAGAAAAACCTCATCCATCTCTGCCTACAGGGCTTTGATTCCAGACCCAGAAAATAGCATAAGCTTTTGCCTTTTTGAATGAAGAATCTCAATACCTTAACCAAGGCGACATGGACTTGTAAAACTGGCAAGAGAAAATGAGAACACAACTACATACTTCACTAAATATATTTCCTGGTCACAGCAAGGAGAAGCAGCAAGCAGTGCCCAGAGGCTTGGAGTCTGCAGGCCCATGCCAGCCCTTGCCCCTGACCAGTCCCTTTATCTCACTTCTCATGCCAAGATGGATCAAGCAGTCGCCAGGTTGGCTGGGCATGGAGCTCCTGTTTATCCCCATGTGGCTGCGTTCATTAGGATAGCCTTAGACATTCCAGGCATGGGCCACATACTGTCTAGCCTCCATTGGACTTTTCCCCTTTTGATCAAACTCTTTTTGGATCCTCTATCCATGCAACAGAGAGGAGTCAATGTTCTACAGCTTTCTTCTCATCGTTTTGAGTGTCTCTCCATAGTTGTAGTAACCTATATTGTAGTCGTAGTAACCTATATAGGCAGAATTCACCAACTTCACATACTCTGTTTTTACTATCCACTCTGTATTTTTCCCTTTCCCCTAAATTCTAGATTTCCTCTCTGAATTCTCATGCGGATCCTTCAAGGTCCTGCAATCATAAGTAGGTGGCACAGCCTGATGCCAGCCCCTGATGCAACCCCACAATGACTGCAATGTCCCTTAAAATTTCATGATGCAGATTTTATATTCTACCATAGATGATATCTATATTTTTTTCATATAGTTAATGTTTTAAGTCACTTTAGAGCTAATTTAGCATCCCCTTCTCACCTTTAAGGAAAAGTGACACTTCATGAAGATGTGTCATGTTTACCTCGAAGCTTCACCTTTTCCTTTAATGCAGCTTCAAACCTTCAGGTGGAACCGAAGGCTCAGTTTGAGAAGTCAAGACTTCTGATTGTTGGCATTGACATATTTGTCATTTATGGAAATGATACTTCTCAAAAGAACCTGAAGACTCATAGTACATAGAATTGTTTGATTTTTCTGGGGCTTGAATTAGATGTGTGAGCACGAATTTCTGGGCTAGGGGTTGGAAGAGTTACCTAGGTGGGGAGCCGTCCAGCATCTACACCTTCATTTAACTTTCTTATTCTCTAGTTGTGTAGTTATGTCAACTGTTGGTAAATGACATTCAAGAAGGTGGATGGTCAGTCATGCACTCTCTTAGCTTCTTCTCAGTCCCATTATATAATAAATATTCTCAGCTAAACCATTTGGCTTGCACCCCACTATTAGATCAATGACTTTCCCTTTATACTGAATGAATCACCCTTCGTGAGCTGGCCCCTGCCGACCCCTCTGACTGTATTTCCTGGCATTCACCCTTCTGAACACTGGACTTTAGCCACCTTGGCCTCCTCGGTGTCCTTGGAACAGGACAGGATGCTCCTGCATACCTGGCTTTGCACTGGCTGCCCCTTCTGCTAATGGCTTCATGCATCACTTTGATCAGGGCTCCTAAATACGCCTACTAGGTAAAAAAAAAAAAAAAAAAAAAGCATTCCTATCACTTTTTAACCTTTTCTTTTACTTTGCTTTCTTTTTGAGCACTTACAGCATTCTGCGTTCATAGTAAATATTTAATATTTATGTGTTCATTATTTGCCTCCCCAACTTAGCACCTTCTCTCTGCTGTAGAGATACTCAGTGAGCGCCTGCTGTCTGATAGAAGCTACATAAATCCCCATAGATGGTAACACTGAACTGCTGTCATCCAACCATGCTGCCAAAGGCCACACAGAGACGGTGCACGTAGAACCAACCTGAAGCGTTGAAGCAATATGTGTCGTAGTGGGAGGTGTTGGAGGTGAGGATGTACACTCCTGTGTTGTTTGCTGCACAGATGGCGTTGGGATGGATCCGGGGAATCACCACGTGGCCTTGTATGAACCCGTACCTGCCACGGAAAAGCAAGAGGTTACTGACCTGCGTGGCTGCCGTGGGAATTTTATAATATCCCATTAAATGACATTTAATGCAGTGTAGCATTTCTTTCAATTCAACCCTAGGGATGTTAGAGGTTTCAACAACTGAGTTATGTGAAATCCCATAATAACATCACAGGAGAGTAAAAGAGATCAACCAGACTAACAGAAACAAAGTTATCTGATTTACAGATCCATGAACAGCCTTTACTTTTTCTTTTTCTGTTTTCTTTCTTTCTTTCTTTCTTTTTTTTTTTTTTTTTTGGTACTAGGGATTGAACCCAGGGATGCTTTATCACTGAGCCACATCCCCAGCCCTTTCATAAATTTTATTTAAACACAGGGTCTCACTGAGTTGCTTAGGGCCTCGCTAAATTGCTGACACTGGCTTTGAACTCACAATCCTTCTGCCTCAGCCTCCTGAGCCGCTGAGATTACAGGCATGTGCACTGTCCCCAGCTATTTTTCTTTCCAAATAAATAAAATTCATGAAAGAAAAAAAAAAAAAACAGCAGTTCCAGACAAAACTTGTGGTCAACTGTGTCAAGTTGGTTGGAACAAGCAGAAGAAAACTGAGTCCCAGGAAAGTGATGAGAGATTCACTCTGGCACTCGATGACCATTATATTTTCCAGAAAAGACCTAAAAAGACCACTCCTAGGATACAGGAAGGGTTGGCTCTTCATTTCAGGGCACAGATTTCATATCTGCCTTATTTCCTCTCCACCACTCTTCTTTCCCAGCTTGACCTTATCCTGAGAGTCCCTCACTTCACACTCCGTTATTCTGAACATGAACCCTTGTTCATATGCCAGTTGCATAGCATGTTTGGTCTCCTGAGGATCCTGTGCACAATTCCACTGCCAGTGGAAATAAATTGACCATCATTAAAATGACAGAAAGAGCAATTAAGGAAGTAGGTAGCAAGGGCTCATTTAGTTAGAGAACATTTCAGACACAGCAAAGGGGTGGTGGTGGGAGGGGATGTTTAACCCTTCTCCCCCTTCCAAGGTGTCTCTGGAAGCATGTTATGTGTCACTGGAGGCCTTTCATTACAGCGTGCAATGCCCAGCCTCTTCCAGCAACATGCTAGTGGCTACATACTCATGACACAAGTTTCCCCCCTCCTCAAATAGCAAATGACTCAAAAAATGAGAATATGTCATTTTCAAGGGAGGGGATGATGGCAGCAGCAGGGCAGAGAGGGAGAAGCTAAATCCAGCAGGTTTCTGAAAATGCAGCGCTGACTAAAGGGCTCTGTGCAGATCCTTTAATCTCTCCTGCCAGGGGAACAGCCCAGAGTGCGTGGCCCTGCAAGATCCATGGAAATATGTGTGAGTTGGAAGTTTCTAAGCACACAGAGCTCATTATGTCTATGTTGCAACGATAGCAAGCATGACTAATTCCTCCTCTGAACCAACAGATTGATTTTTCCAAAGTTTTCTTAGCTGGGGAGGGGGAGTGTCACAATTAAATGTTAATAGGTTTTCATGTATCTGAGTGTTGCTACTGATCAGGGCGGGGCAAGTGAAAGAAGAGTAGCTGCTGAGGTTTTATTCTCACCCGTGAGACTCTGCTATCTGTCCTGTGGCAGGTGTCTGATTCAGAGCTATCTGAGTGAAATTATGGAAAGGAGTTTTGCAACACTTAATACCAGTGACGGGTGAAATGATCTACTGGTTTTACTTTTTTCTTTTTGCTAAATAATACTCCTTGGTGAACCTAACTGCCCACCTCACCCTACCGCATCATGTCACATAGACAAGGAAGTACATCGCTAATGTTCTAGAACACACTCTTGCTTTGTAAATTATTACTGATATTTTCTCATATCATGTTGTCTGTGATTTTTTTTTTTTTTTTTTTGGTACTGGGGATTGAACTCAGTGGTGCTTAACCACCGAGTCACATCCCCAGCCCTTTTTGTATTTTATTTAGAGACAGGGTCTCACTAAATTGATTAAGTTGCTGATGCTGACTTTGAACTTGCAATCCTCCTGCCTCAGCCTCCTGAGCTGCTGGGATTACAGGCATGCACCTCCATGCCTGGATATCTGTGATTTTTATGTGGTGCACTATATACAAGCTGAGGATATTAAAATTGATGTGTGTGTGTGTGTGTGTGTGTGTGTGTGTGAGAGAGAGAGAGAGAGAGAGAGAGAGAGAGAGATGCACAAGGAGGAAAGAAATGTTCAGCAAATCAGTGCAGCATACTTAACTCCCCTCTTCCCTTCAGGAAAACTTAATCACTAAAATCTTGTCCTGGACTCAGACTAAGGAGACCAAATCCTGACTCCTGCGCAAGCTGTGTGATTCAGGAAAAGCTGCGGAATTTACCCAAGCCTCAGTTCTTTATTCATAAAGCCGGGTAGTAAAATCAATCCACAGCATGGTTTAAAGACTAAGTGGAAGATGTAGCAGGGCTTCCAGCACCTCAGCACTCGCTAATGGCCCTGACAACAAGATCTCCTCTTGGTTTCAGCAAATGAGACCACCTTTCCATCTCTCAAAAGACTTGTCTGTATTTCACAGTCAAAGTGCAACTTAGTAAATCCACTGTCTTAGCCTAGTCAAGGCCAAATTTAAACAATTAACCTTGGGTATCCAATAAATGAATTTGCTAATGGGTCTTCTTTCATCTCAGTTTCCGTAGGTACAGGAGAAATCTTCCTCTCTCTGCTCCTTTTACATTCTCCAGACTTAGCTCTATATAGACACAGAGATGTCAAATACATCTGCTCTTTGTTCCAGAGTGTTACTGCTTGGGAGTACTTTCTTCCCTGATGCAAATGTTCTGCATATCATTTGTGTCATTCAGTACAACCACCACTGGCCATTTGTGGCTAGTTGAGCATTTGAAATGTAGCCAGAGTCACTCAAGTTTTCATATTTTTTAAATTTTAATTAATATAAGTAGAAATCAGCCCATGTGGCTAATGGCTACCATATAAGAACCATCATAGACTAAAGATTTTCCCCTTCCATTTTAGGAAAAGAATCTCAGCTACCTCTCATGAGGTGAATGCATGTCTGTACCCAAGGGCAGGGGACAGCAGCATTTAACTTACACTTAGCAGTTTTCATAAAAAGTGCTGCAGCTTGACTTTGCAAAAGCAGCCTGTGTGTATGTGTATGCATTGAAGAGAAAGGGGACCCACTTTTCCGGAATCACAAGCTGGAGTGGAAACTTCAGAGGGTTCACTAACACTACTTTGACCTCTTGTAGTGAAATCAAACCAAACCAGGCACTCCGCTGTGGTTGTCACCATGGCTTGCTCTTCGTGTGCAACCTTGCCGTAATAATTTTAAAAATAAGGCCCCTGGCCATTGTGATCACCTTAGGATAAACGAATAAACTGATTTAAGGAAAGCTCTCCACAGCACTGGGGTCCCTGAGGCATATATTGATGTATCTTAATGGAACATGTGCTAAACTATTTCATGGCTATTTATTGACTTTCTCAAACGAAAGCAACATAAACCCCCCCCCCCACACACACACACACAGTTTGGGAAACATGCTTTGGGCCAAGTCTGCAGGGCCAAGACTCAACCAGCCACCTATTTATTTTAAACACTGTTATTTGGTTTACGTTTTCTTGTGGTTCCGACAATGATATTGCATGCTTCTTCAAAGCCAGGAGAGCGCTGTGGAAGCACATTACCCAAGAGGATTCCAACCGATATGACCCTTCACGTCTTCCTCAGGCCCCTTTCTCTATGACTCACGAAAGTGCCTTTAGCTGACTTGAAATTCCAGTTGTCAGGCTGGTTTCACATGGACTTGGCCAAATTAATAGGTGGGGCTGACTGGTTAGGTAATAATCCATTCAGCTGCCGGGGAGGGCCCTTCAGTTCTAAGCCCCGTCCCCTGGACCCAGACCACTGGCTTTCCCAGTGGTGGGTGCTGGTCCCTTACCTGCAGGTCTCAAATCCCATGGCTAGAGCCTGTTGCATCTGGGCCATGGTGGGCAGGGTACTGTTGAAAGCCTTGCAGAGGTCAGGTGCCTCCGTCCGAGAGATGCTGTAGCGACCGTTCTTCTCCACATGGAATACACCTGCATAGCGGCAGGTTATATTCAGATCTGTGGGATGAAACAGAAACGTCAGCTCTTTTGCAGACAGACTTTGCATCATTTTAGGGAAGACTCGGGAAATATTCAAATAAACAACTCTATTGACCAGAGCCTTCAAGATTCACTCAGGCACATCAAAACAACATTCCATAAGCTCAAATTTGAGATGAGACATGGGAAATAAAGCACATCATGCTATGGTCCCCCTGGGTTACTACTCAAAAGAATTTTTTTTTTTTCCCAAAAGCATCTGATTTAAAGTAACAAAAATACTCATGGAGACCTCACAAGATTGAAGACAATAATGAAGAAAAACAAGAGTACCACTGAGAAAGCCAGAGCCTTTTGCTGAATGTTCCTCCAGTTTGTTTACTGAACACACCCCCCACATGGAACACCTCTGCATATGTATATGTACACACACAGGGCTGCATAGTGGAAACAGTACCAGATACACAGTCCTATATTGGGGAATCTTGTTTCACCTTAACCTTCAGAGCATTATTGCCACACTCGAGAGTGATTGCCTCCTCACCCATAACCTCCAATACCTTCTGGCTGTACCCAGAACAAAGGTCCTCATCATGGCAAGACCAAAGCTCTCTGGCTCCTGTCTCCTTCTCCAGCCTCAACATGGTTTGCTCTGCTCTAAGCAAAAAGCTTTCCATCAATTCCCTCAGGTACTTTGGCTCCTTAAAACACACACCTGCTTCCCCTCTGCCCGGAATGTCCCATCCTCAGTGATTCGCATGGGTGGTTCATGTTCATCATTCAGAATTTCAACTCTATGACCCCTTCCTCTGGAGTCCTTCCCTGATCACTCGTACCAGCCCCCAGCTTCTCCCTCTCCTTCCGCTGGCTTTTGGGGTCTGCCTAAGAACATGCTCCTCCGTTTGGACATTTGGCTCTTTGTCTGCCTGAAGTGACAGTCTGAAAAGCAAAGGCCTTTCACTTGTTGGCAGCTGTATCTCCAGCATCTGTTAACAGTGCCCCACCGAGAGCAGAGGCTCCTCAGCTGTCTGTCAAATGAAGGAACGACTCCTTGAAATTTCCTCAAAAACACATCTGTAATGTAGTGACAGATCCATGGCCTGCTATTTGTTCCCAAGAATTAATGGCATGGAAAAATGAAGCTCAACTGCTCTCCAGTGGGTAAATGACTGTTTAACACGAAGAATTCTGTGAGTTTTTGTAGATATTACTCTGAAATCTCGGTTGGGAGCTGGAAATCATCCTGGTTCTGCATGATTCTGTGTGTAACAATCTCAAAAGACTTCAAAGGCCTTACTTGAAAACTCATTACTCTTTTGGAAGTCTATTATCCCCAATCTGCACGTGAGTAAACGCCACCCAGAAAAATGAAGTCATTGGAATTGGCCTGGTGAGGTTCCATTCCTTCTGAGCGCTTCCTTGAGACTCGGGGCCAGCCCTTCTCTAGGAGACAATGGACAAATGCCCAGGTGCCACGTAGGGCAGTATTCTGTTAGTTAAGACATAGAATGACAAGTTGGCTTCAAGCCAGACTCCAGGCTTTTCCCTTGGGCAAGTCCAAAGAAAGTTGGGAAAATTGAGGTTCAGATAAATGAGTTGCCTAATAAAATGAATATTTCCCTCTAGAATCATAGGCTTCTCCTGAATCCCAGTTGCTTTATCCTGCCTTTCTGAGCTGACAGCTGTGGGAGAGATCTTTCACAGCAGTCTCCTTAGGTACCCAGCTCCTTTGGGGCTGTGTTGCCTCAACTTCAGCAGAACTCTGAGAGGTAAGTTTTATGTATTATTTATAGGTGAAGAAACCAAAGCTCAGAAAAATTGAACAGCTTCCCCCAATCACCCAGATACTAAATGTTAGAGCTAGAAAACAATCCCAGGTGTGGTTAGCACCAAATGCATGCTTTGAACTGCTTTGTGGGGGTCCTTTTATGTTACTAGAGCAGCTATAGGAAAGGGAGAGGCACACGTGAATGGTTGCTTCATGATGAGAAGGATAGGGTCATTCTTAGGGAGTTGCACAGGTGACAACCAACTGCTCTCCCCTGCTAGAGCCTAAAGGAGGTTCCAAACCCTAGAAATCAGTGTTCAGCAAATAAAAAACAGGAGAACGATTAAAACTCTACATTATCTTCCCTTATTCTGAAAATAGTAAAAGAAATAAGAAGTGGCACTTGAAAAGACATAAGCCAACGTCAGCTGTGTTTTCTTTTGTTTGTGTCATTAGGAAGTGGGTGCTTAAAGGAAAAAAACATCAGGGCTGGGGTTGTGGCTCAGTGGTAGAGTGCTCACCTAGCAGGTGCGAGACCCTGAGTTCGATCCTTAGCACCACATAAAAAAATAAATGAATAAATAAAATAAAGATATTGTGTCCAACTACAATTAAAAAATAAATATATATTTTTAAAAACATCAGAATCAGCGAAATACAAAATATGCTCTTGTGCAGAGTGTTCCTTATCAGGTCTGATGGGTCCCCCCAGACCCCTCCTGCAACACTGGGCTCATGAGGCAATGAGAAGGAGGAGGAAGGAAACACACAGGCCCTTTTGAAATACTATTTGTTTTTACTGACATTTTCACCTTGAGTCTCAGTTGGCCAATCTCACAAAGGGAACCTGTCACTCTGTAACCTTTCCGGGGGCCTTTCCTTGTCCAGCATGCAAAAGAAAAACAAAACATCCCAATCAGCTTCTTGGAGGGGAGGCTGCCAGGGGAGGCCTCCATCAGGTGCCAGGAGAGACAAACTACCTGCTCCTGGCCCAGGTGGCTGCTGTCACTCCCAGGTTAAAAATAAAGTCTGAGGCTAGACAGTGGTTTGGAACCGAATGGCAATTTCTTGCTTATCAAAATCAATTCTAGCTTGCCACCTGGCAGACAGAAGATGTAAATGTAAGAGAAATCATTGCAGGCTGAGATTTTTGAGTAAAATCCCTTGAGCTCCATGTGCAGCACCCAATGTAACTTTATAGTCAGTACCGTCATGCACTGGGTGAGCATGCTGATATGCATGTAAGCCAGTATATAGGCTTGTGGCCAGCCGAGACAGGATGAAACAGAGAACCTCAACCTTCAATTCTGCAAGACTCTGAGGCTTAAACAGGGCCTGATGCATTGTAGGCATCCATACAGAACTACTGAATCGAGGAAGAAATTCTTGGCAAAGTGAAAAATCCCACAGCTTGCATTTATGATAACTCACCAGAAGTTTCCACTCCTAACTCTGATGGCATTCAAACTTTTAGGAATTGTAAAAAGGAAGTCAACTGTCATGAACATTCACAGTCTCTTTCCTGTAAGTCCCTCTTTCCTTAAAAAAGGGACCAAGCCTTCAGGGCTGTATATCACCCAAGCCCTGGCAATTTATGAAGATGTTCCAACAGGCTTCTTTAATACTTATGAAAACCCAAATTATCTCCCTAAAGGATGTTCACAGTACCAACAGCAATAATCATAGCTAATACTTATTATTCACTTATTACATACATACCAGGCACTTTTGTGAGCATTTTACAAGGACTAATTCATTTTATCCTTAAACAACCCTATGAGGTGGTCTATATTTTCATCATCACTTTTCAGATACAGAAACTAAGGCACGGAGCAGGGAAGCTATTAAAAAAAAAAAAACAACAACAACAACAAAAAAAAAAACACCTAAGTTCACAGAGGTTAATAAGAGTGGAGCCAAGACCAAACCTAACCAGCCTGAGCTCCAGGTGCCCACAAACTTTGCCACTGCCCACTCCTCTAACCTTGAGCTAGGCCATTTTTTTTTTTAACTTCTAACCTCATCAAGGCATAGTTGACAATAGTCCCAAGACTTAAGTAGCATTAAAGTAAGGGTCACATTTGAGCCTCGTGGACCACAGAACATCTCTGGATAGGGTGGCAGTGTCCATGGCAATGGTGCTGGCCATACTGCCAACACGGCAGGAAGGACTCCTGAGATATTTTCAGGTGTCTTCTGGGAAACAAAGAGTGGATTCAGGATCCACTCTGACTCGAGAAGTGAATGTTGAGTGGCTGATTGCATCTCTCCAACAAGCCTCTGCCAACTGGAAATAGAGTTAGGTTTTCCATTGAACCCTCGAGTCTCCAATAAATCTCTTGAATCATGTAAGGAATAAACTGTCCCAAGCCCCCCTTCCCCCTACACACACACACTCTGAGAGATGGAATAGGCCCAGTGGAAAACATTGACTCTTTGAGGCCACTTTCAGATTCAGAGGGAAGGCTCCACAATGACACCCAACCTGCAGAATGCTCATTACAGGAGCCTCATCCACCCAGGTGGGCTTGTGACCTGTCAGGAAGACCAAGGGAAGGAGCTCTTCCAGAGAGAATCCACAGCCTATAGAGCCCAATTCCAGCCCTGCACCCACTGAGGGTTCATGGTTCAGCTTACTTGGGACCCGGCCAAAGCTGCTTGGGGCTCAGATCTTTCCTTCGCAGCTAGTTTGTTACTTAATGCCTCAGATGCTCAGCCTCCTCTTTGATGGGATGACAATACCAACCTCTCAGTGTTTGAGGGACTATTTTGTGACACATGTTAAACGCTTGATATGGGGCTTGGCAATGGATATTGCAACTTATTATCTGCCTTAAGTACTTTAGCTAACTCAAATATCATAAAAATTCTATGAGGTAGGCACTACTCTCAAATCCATTTTTAGGAAAGGAGGAAATTGAGCCCCAAAGTGGTAAAGTAAATGGTCCAAAGTCATCCAAGTGGGAGGGCTGGAACGCTATCCTGGCTCCTGTTTAAATTTATCATCACTTGATAAGCCACAGATGACCAGTAACACCACTAATCTTATCCATAGCTTCCCCTAAGCTTCAGAACAAGAAAAATAAATCTCACTAATAAAATCACCCACACACATTTCAAAACTTTTGCCTACATTGTGGAGCCTGTGAGAAATAAGCTTCTTGGTCCCGTCTAGTCATTTCCCAAGTGGTAGAAAATCACAAGCAACATCTTCGAGGAGGAAATTATTGTGTAATTTTCACTCAGGTTG